ATGATTAACTTACTTACTCATCCGTTGGGTTTGTGTTTTGAAAATGTTTACATATATTCCAAGTCGTTGTATCAACCGAAATGTGAGTATCTGCAGAAAGTTTTACACCTATTAAGGGTTTGGGTTACTACACATTTAGTGATGCAAACAGTATTTTAGAACCATCTGATGCTAAACTAAATTCTATCTTTTATATTCGACGATGTAATGTGTGAAAAACAGATGTAATTGCCTATATTTTAGTATAATGCCAATTATTATGTGGATTCATTTTACCTAGCCCAGACATACTCACGAGTTCCCAAACAATTAGTGCGATAATGCTAATTTAATTATTATGTTTTAAACAGGGATGAAAAATGAATCACGTCATATTTATTCTGACCATGTTTCGCCTGATGTAACATTTAATCAATTTCAAGAGATGTGTGCAAAATGTTGGAACGATAAGTATGGTTTTTAGTTATCGATAAAGATAGTGATTTAAACCCTGGAAGATATCGTGTAGGGTTCGATAGCTATATATTAATAGAGTAATCTTAATTAAAGTCAATTTGACAACTAAACGATATAGTAGTAGGCCAAAGCCAAAATGAACGAGGAAATTTATTTGAAACGCAAATTAGTCGAAGCTACAGATGCTGTTCGAAAAAATTTAAACAAATTAAATCTGCAAGCGTACACGATAAAATTGAATTAGAGAAATTTTACGAACCGATTAGTACACCGTTAACATCTATATCCAATGTTATTAAAAACAAAAAAGTTTGAAACCAAAATATGATCAAATAAGTATGGGTACATAAACTGAAAGTGTAAGTACAACCACACAGACAGCATTTACGGAGCGTGCACCAAAAGAAACGTCAACTCCATTGATAAAACCACGGAAGCCTCTCTTGGATGAATCGAGTATACATAGACACACGCTTGATGAAAGGTTTGTTACACCACCACCCTCAAATACTTCTGCAATGACATCTAGTGACTACACAGTGGAATCTCCGGACAGTGTAATTCAATCTTATCTAAACGAATTTACGGCTAAACCATCTTTATTTGACAATATTTATGGGTTCGACGTGAAAAGTTGAAGAACAAATATGTGATGTATATGGGTAAAATGGAAATACGTTTTCCACCTGGTAATGTTGTTCTTGTGGACAAAAATAATAAAATTAGCGAATTTCAAGGGAACTCTGAACTTCACGACCTACTTTTCTTGAGAAATCCACCACCATTGGGTAATGAAGGTGAAATGGATCCCGAAGTTATCGAAGATTATAAATCAATTTTGCAGCTGACAGAAGCACCGTATACAGACTATAATAAAAAAAGGGTTGAGAGCAAGGTGGAGAAAGTATACAAGTATCATAAAACCTCTAATGCAAGGAACTCGATTAGGTACTGGGATTCAGAAAAATAATTCAAAGGGTAGCTTACCCCTCCAAAAACGTGTCATTTCGGAAAAAGTGAATTATGTATATTGGAATAAACCGAAAGAGTTAATAGATCGTTTACGATTACTCTGGAGTTCAAAGATGGCGGGACACACCGGACATGATAACGAAATAATATCTATAATTGAAGAACCCCGGGAAGAACGGGAATAATCATTAAGAAAAGCAAGTAGCAATTTTCATCAGTTCTCCAAGATACGTCTTTTAGAAAAATGGAGGTTAGCCCTGAAAAGTTAAAAATTGTCAATGAACTTCATAGACCTGCTAGAAAAATTTTCCAAGGAGGCGTACAATAATTAAGGGATATAGAGATTTGTGGCAAATAGATTTGGCTGAAATGCAACAATATAGTAGTGAAAATAATTGTTATCGTTACATATTAGTGTGTATAAATTGCTATTCTAAATATATGTACACTAGACCTGTCAAGAATAAAACTTGAGTTGAAGTTACCAAGGCGATGAGGGATATTATTACAGAAGCAGGGTATGCACCAAGTAATCTACAAAGAGACCAAGGAAAGGAATTTTCAATAGAACTTTTCTAGCTATGGTTGAAGAATACAATATTAATCATTATTTTACATTCAGTACCAAAAAAGCTGAAATTGTAGAACGAGTAATAAGAACACTTAAGAATTATTTATATAAGGAGTTTTCAGCTAGAGGTTCATACCAATGGCTAAAACTTTTACCTACTGTAACGAAGACGTAGAATAATAAGAAACACCGCACCACCTAAATGAAACCGGTTGATGTTAATCCTAACACACGTATTGACGCTTACAATCACATAAAAATTGTACCTAAAATTTCAATTTAACAGTTGTAAAAAATATATAAAAAAAAAAAAAAAAAAAGTATTTCTTTTGATAAGGGATAATCGTCATGGTCAACTGAACAGTTTAAAGTTGCTAAAGTTAACATCACCCAGCCACCGACATACATCCTAGAATCAGTAGAAGGTCAACCAATTAAGGGATGTTTTATGAGGCCGAATTACAGAAGACAAAGTCCCCTGGTATTTATCTAGTTGGAAGAATACTGTGTAACCGACAGAAAAAAATAAAGTTAAGCAATTTTATGTAAAGCGGTTAGGCTTTCCATCCAGGTTTAACTCATGGATTGATTCTTCTGATATTATTTAAAATTTATAATATGTTTCATTTGTAACATATTAAAAAATCAACACATTTTTTAAATCGTATTTCATTTAAATAAACCTACATTTATTACTATATTTTTTTATTTCACATTTTAAGTTAATATATGTTCAGAGATATCCGTCAAACGCCTAGTATCCTTAAACTTATTCAGCTGGTCTTCCAGAATTGCAATACTCGTCACGTATTTGGGCTTATTGTGTTCTATCTCAGATTCCAACTTTGCCAATATTAGAGTCATAAAATCCTTAGTTGTTATACGAGTATAAAGGTCTAGGCTCAAAGTGTATTTTATAATCCGCATATTGCATTGTAACTGCATCAGCCTTATCTATTGGCTCACTAAGGTTTATTATCTGTTTCTTCTTGAATGTTATAGTCGCCACTGAGTGTTAATTTATATCCAATCCCGGGTATGCTGCGCAACACTTCAACTGTTTTATGTATTTTATCATCTGCATATTGCATTGCAAATGCATCAACCTTATCTATTGGCTCACTAAGGTACATTCTTCGTTCTCCTTGAATGTTATAGTCACCACTGGGTGTTAATTTATATCCAATTTCTGGCATGCTGCGCAACACTTCTACAGTATCATGAATATTCTTAAGACCGAATTTATCAATTGTTTTGTTAGTCGCCATCTCTGAACTAAACTGTTTTCTACGGAAGTACTATTATTATATGAATTTATTATTATGTGGAGTAACACCTCCTGTTGTTCAATTTTAATAATATGATTTACTCTTTTCTCTAACACGATAATCCTTTGGATGTTTTCTCAAGTGTTTTTCTTCCACAAGTTTTTATCGCGTTTATCATTTTCTCTTCCACATCATTATTCAATATATTTGCAAATGTTTTGTTCAATTGAACAAGTTCCTTGTCAATATATTGTTTTGTTATAGCATCTGTCTTATCTCTAGGATGAGCGACATTCGTTAAACGTTTTGAGTTATGTCGTAATCTCCACTGGATGTTAATTTAAATCCTATTCCAGAAGCACCACGTATTGTACGCACTTTGATATTTTCTATGTCCAAACTTGTCAACTGTATTGTTAACAGGGTTTTCATATTCAACTATATAACTAAAAATATTTTCAGTAATTGTTCTACTTATATAAATATATATAATAAAAAAACAGGGTGATAGTAGTAGTACATATTTATTAATACAAATTTGTTTTCATGGTAAATATATAATGTGTGGGTATAAAATGTATTAGCCTAGGCTAGCTGCTACATCGACTTCCATGTTATCTACTGTGTCAACATCGAATCGAGACACCTACTGGTTCCTGTCTCTTTGTAATGCCAATTGATGGTTGCAGCCCTCTCCATAGAGGAGATATTTCTTAGAAATATCATCTGGGATATGTGGAATTCTAAGTAAAAACCTTCTTAAATCTTCCTCCACCATTTCAGAGCAAAATGTATCCAGACTAATGCTACCATATACATACTTTTCACACAAATGTGCTCCAATACGATAGTTTATTGAGGTTTTAAGGTATTTAATATATTTCATCATCATCATTGGTTCCAAGAAGACTTAGGAATTTCAGGGTGTCGCTAACATATTTTCCTCTAATTGTACAGCTAATTTATAAACGTGTAACATTTGGCCTTCATCGTATGCATTAGAATCATACTTTTCAGTGACAACGTCGCACATCTTAAACAAGAATACATATGTGAGTATTCAATGAATGTAATTATTACAAGTTACTAACATTTTGTATTACATTTTTTTTAATATTATATTAATAAATGTTTACCCAACACACAAAAATTAAGGAGGGCTCTAGTATTTCCACCAGCTAATACCGAACTCTGCTCTAAATAACATAAATAATATTTATCATCGAATTTATTTATGAGCTGTACTAGATCATCTGTGAAAGTCTGAACAACACGTTTTGGTAGAAATGATTTGAATGTTAAGTTACTTGTTTTATCGTGTAATGTTGCTAGAATTGTTTTTCCAAAAACGTGTTGTCATCGACACCATATTTTTAATAATATATATTTTCCACTGTCAACGATGATATGGATTTACTTTCGACTAATTCAATTTCTTCAAGCTTTTTATTAATTTGTTCAAATGTATTCTTTGAAATACTCATTTTAAAAAAATGTAATAAATATTTGAAAAACTTTTACGCAATATAACTTCAAACACTTTTGAATACACCACACAACGTTTCTTTGGAATGTATACACACATCGACTTGTTAATTTTACAAGATTCTATATCTAAATACGTTTCCATGAAAGTCGCTTTATATACACAATGTTAAACTACCCCCCACCTTGGTAGCCTAGAAGAACATTCATGGTGACTAATTTCAAAGACATCTGAAAGTCAATCTTACATGTCGTTCAAGATTGTCCATCAAGCTCCTTGTGAAGGGTACACAAACGCATTTCAAATACATCTGAAAGTCAACCTTAAAGGTCGTTTAAGGTCTCACAACAAGGTTCTTTCTGGAATCACTCAAGGAGGTTTGAAAGCCACATATGTCAAGGTCAAGCGAACTGCGCATGTGGAGGAGCCCAATCGGCTAATATCTCCTACTAATCGAGACCCACTAGAATGGACTCGTACATACGAGAACATTCGAAAACCTTCTCTATGCGCCTAACGATCTTTGGACTATTCTAGATTTCTTTTACCTGTCGGTATAAAAGCCGGCGGCAGTGGCCTAGAGAGGGCAGTTATAAATATACAGTTGACGCGCTAAAATTCAAAATAAATTTTAGTTATAAAACCGTTTGTAAATAGTTCTATAAGTCGTTTATCGTTATTAGTTTTGTTAATTAGTGTTAAATAAATAGTGTTTAAATAAATTGTGACTTTCTATCCACACGGAACCGACGAAAAACGTAACATTATCATACTAAAATCTATATATATCTAGATGAAACTACCCCTCAAATATTACCAAGTTATATAATAATATCGCCATATTGTTTTTTCTCATTGTGAGATAAATGTGAGAAAATTTTATCCAGTTTGTATGCTAATGGAAATTCCTGCTTTACTTTATCATCATCATTACAAATGATTAATTCGGCGCGAACGAAGTCGCGGGTACACGCTAGTCTAGTATACTATAATTTGTTTAATTCCTTAGATGTCCAGTAGACGACAAATTGATATCGAGGTTCAGAGGATCCTGGTCGGAAGCCGGAGTCTACGAGACCCAGGTTTTCGCCTACATGAAAACATTCCGATTTACAGGATCACCAGCGTTGTACATTGAGTGCGACGTTAGAATGTGCCACGGAAGATGTCCGGTAAGCAACAAATACACTTCTTAAACAAGAAAATACAGTTTATGTTGGAACCTTCATGTTACAATATAAAACTAACTAAACGAAACATGTTATAAAATAAAACACCAAAAGAGTATACAGGGTGAGTCTTAAATAAGCGCAAATAATTTAGTAGGTAGTATATTTCGACACCAGTTTGATCATGAGGTTTTTGTGCGAAAAACAAAGGGTATAGCCGGATTAATATGGGAAATCGGCCCCCGCGGCTTTTTTAACTCGCACTCAGTCAGCGGATCAATTTGGTGTCGAATGAAAAATAATTCATTAAAAATATTTAAATGTCAACATTTTGTTTTTCGTTTAGTTTTGTTTTTCCATTTCATTTTTATTTTTGATAGTAAAATTCAAAATTAATTAATGATGATTTTTTTAAAATTCTTAGAAGTCTAAGATGAAAAAAAAATTGGCATACTAAAATATGTCAATATCTCGAAAACTGCAACTTTGACTGATTTTGATGTTATTATAAACTAGGTTTTTCCCGCGACTACGTTCGCGTTACACCTCGAATGATTGATGCATTGATTTAAATGATTTCTTACTTGTATATAGTATTGGGGTGAACCTTACAAACGCCCTATTTAAACTATGTTTTAAGAGTTTTAGAGCTACTCATATTTCATATGAAAGTTAATACCATATGATCGATATTCTGATACTATACAGGGCAAGTCTCGAATAAGTGCAAATATTTTCTAGGGTCATTGGTAGATCCTCGATAAAAGAAACATAAAAAATATATTTTCTCTTTACCGTTTTTCAAATAACTCCAAAATAGCTGAGTTACCACTTTAAAAATTTCCAAACAAAAATATTTTTGCTTAAAATTTTGAGAACCACTGCAGCTCTTCGGGTTTTGCTGTCTTGTAAATTTAATCTACCTCTCTATCTATGTTGCTACATTATCAAGAAATTATGGTTTTAACTAAAAACTAAAAAATACAAAAGGTTTTTGCAAAAATTCCAAATACAAAAAAAAATCTGCGAAAACTCATATAATCGTGTTTCTGGGGTCAAATATACCTACTACCGCTAAGAATAATTGTAACTTATTTAAGACCTCGCTCGACAAAAATCGATATTGTTATTTTTGACTTCTATTACATATTTTTTAACTCTGTAATTTATAAAAAGCTGTCAATATTCCACCAATTTCAAGAGGATTTTATTCTCCTTTAAATATTATTATGTACTTAAGAAAATTCGAAAAATTTAAAAAAAAACCGTTTTTATTTTTTCATCGCCTGTATATGACTTTATGGCACACTTTGTATACCAAAATAAAACTTTGATTAGAGCCATCTGAAATAAAAAATCTTTAATAATTCTAGAAGTTATCGATATCAAAGTATTTCAAAGAAGTTCAATTTTGGGCCACAAAATGATTTTGAAATCTTGCTTTTTAACACTTTCTTTCAATTTTTTAACTACTTCCATTGACTGAAACTACTTATGTATGGTTGGATAGAGGGTGGATGGCGATCTTCCAGGGCGGTTTCATTCTTATTTATATATAGATTATTTACGAAATCGAACCAAAGTCAATTTCAAAGAAATTTTGCAAAATCTGAAAAAATAAAATCTCCAAAATAATAAATAGTGAAATAATGATTTACCCTCTATAGATAGAAGCCCTACCCATGGTCCCATATAAACTGTATTACTAAAATAAATAGTTTTTAGGTCATGGTTTTCAAAACGAACATTTGAAATTTTCAAATTGTCGCTTTACTTAATATAATACCCCTTTGATATTTTTTTTATTTTTCATCTCTTTTATTTATTAAGAGCACTAATACTCCATTTATGGTTATTTTTTATTCCTGAAGGATAATTGAAGAAGAAATATAGGAAGTTTATATTATTGATGTGTCACTAAATAAACCCTTGTATAAAATTCCTTTATATTGCTAGATGTTATAGTAATGCATTTTCGTATAGCAAACTTTCATTCCTCATTCTAATTCCTAATCATAAATTTACAAAACTGCTTTATCCAAATCATTAACTCATGTCTCTTTAAATGATCCCTTGTAAATTTTTATGTGTATAATCCAGAGGTCACCAAGTTCTATATAAATTTTACCAACTCTACCCATTTATTGATGAATTTCAAAACCCTCTAATTCTCTTTGTAGGATTTCATTCTTCTAGACCACATAGTAAGGAATTTTCATACAACAAATTGTTCCGACATAATTTTTAATCATAATTAAGAGGATGAATTTCCTAAAACGCTTTGTGTAGCTAATTCACTATATAATGTCGTTTAAACGAACCTTGTTCTAATATTTATGTATCTGAAGCTGGCTGTATGAACTCACTCCTAAAACATCTAAAAACTTGATATATAATCTAACTGACAAGCCAGTGACAATGACAAATAATTCTATTTCTGAGGTATTGTGTGTAGGTGTTTTCCAGGTATGTTTAAGTCGATTTACACAAAGAAATAGCCATTCAACAATTTAAAAATACTTAATAACAAATCTAGACATATATACCTTTCATTTAAAACCAGTTTCATTAGCTACTGTAATTTGGAGTTACGATTTTAAAATTTTAACCCTCCCATACCCCCTTCTTCTCAACTCCTCCCACCAAAAACTAATGGCTAGGATTCTCAGTGCCACAGTATTTTTATTTTGTGCCAAATTTGGTTAAATCGGTTCAGCGGTTTTTGAGTTATCGTGTTACAGACGGCAGACAGACAGACAGACAGACAGACAGCACGAAAATATTTTGTATTTAGGTCATTTATGACCCAAATAACTCATTTTGAGTGAAATTAAAAAACTTTTTTTTGCCGATCCTAATAGCCTACCATACCTATTGGTATGGTCGGCTAATTCGTATATCGTCGCTATGATCGTAATTCTTAAGCGAAAAGCTGATTCTTAGCGGAGGAAAGAAAATTAAAATCTTCATTTTTTAACCTTCCCGAAATATGTCACTCACTATAAATCATCAGAAAATGTCTTTTATACTTCTTTACACTCAGGAATTTTTTGGAAGGTGGTGGAACGATAATATAAAAATTAAAAAGTCATTTTTTTTTTCTAAAATCTTCTCGGACTGATTTTTTTATAATAATCTTTATGTTTATTCCTGGCAACGATGTATTTTCAATGAAAAAAATATTTTTTACCCACTTTATTAAACTAAACAAAAATATAAGTTAGTTAAAAACCTTTGTTAAAAACAGAAGATTTTTGAAAAAAAAATGAGTTCATGAGTTATTTTTGATATTGTTCCACCACTTCAAAAAATTCTAAAAATTCTTGAGTGTAAAGGAGTATAAAAGACATTTTCTGACGATTTTTAGTGAGTGACATATTTCACAAAGGCTAAAAAAATGAAGATTTTAATTTTCTTTCTTCGGCTAAAAATCCTCTTTTCGTTTAAGAATCATAATCATATCTATTATTTTCATGTCTTAGACTTCGTAAAAAAATCATCATTAATTAATTTTGAACATTACTATAAAAATAAACATAAAAATGAAAAAAAAAACAGGTATTTTTGAAAATCTCGAAAATCGTTTGAGTTAAAGAGCTAAAAATTTAGGTAAATTATTTTGATTTGACACCAATTCGATCCCTTGAGTGGGAGTCAAAAAAGCCGAGGGGCAGATTTCCTATATTAATCCGGCTATACCCTTTTGCAAATTTGGATTTTTTTTAGTTGAAAAATCATATAATTTCTCGATAATATGGCAAAATAGGTAGTAGAATAAATTTACAATAAAGAAAACTCAGAAAAGATCCAGTGGTTTTCGTATTTTTTGGAAATTTTCAAAGTAAAATAACTCGGTTATTTTGGACCTATTTGAAAAACGGTAAAGAGAAAATATATTTGTTTTATCGAGATCTACCAGTCCCGAAAATATTTGCACTTATTTAAGACTCCCCCCTGTATTTTGCTAATCATGTTAAACGAAACGAAACATGCGTCTAGAAGTTAATATATTTGGTAAATTATGGTTAAATTTAGATTTTTTATTTTTGATAAAGAAATAATAATAAAAATAATTTTTTTCTAATCTTTAGAGTCAACCATGCCACTGGAGAAACGTCAAGAACGTGAAGAAGAGGTCTTTGGAGCTAGAAGGTCCTTCTAGTTCTACCACAGTAGCTTCGAATATCCCCTTATCGGAAAATATCAATCTTTTCCAGTCGTTGAGGGTACTACACGAAGGGGAAAGCGATCAGGAAACGAATATAACTTATATAGGTATATTTTTTTTATAAATATTTGCATTAAATGACTTTTACTTACACGACGTATACGCAATCCTCACTATAACGTAACGTTACCTTCACGTCGAGCCGCGGTCTTGCCACCACGGTAAATATTCTTAAATGACCAACAATGAAGATATTCACACTATCCGTAACGTTGCCGTCGGCGTCGTGGCAACGTCGATCTCCCATTTGCTTCATGTTTTATGTTAAGACAGCTTAAAGGTTGATTTCGCTTCTGCTTAAAGGTTGATTCTCACTATACCTTCCGTTTACAAAACATATTATATCATGTAAATGAATAGGACAATGCATACTATCCGTTCCGTTTCTCTTCGGTTCTATATCCTTTCCTTCCATACATTTTTTTGGCCGACGCGACGGACTGAAGCGTATCGGAAACAGCGTTGTCAAGTTCTTACATTTGCGCCAGCTCCGTTAACATTTTGCTAATATTTATTTATTCTTTCACCTCTTAATTAAATCTATTACCTTTTTCAAAAGATACAAGTTTTTAAAATAAAACTTTGGTAATGATATAAATTGTACAATAAAAAGTATGGAACTGATACGGAACGGAAGCTTACGTAGCGTCAATACAATAAAAATACGGAATAATATTATAGCGTCAATACAATAAAAATACGGAATGGATATGGAATGGAAACGGAAGTTATAGTGAGAATCAACCTTTAATATTCGCGCGTTCCACACTATACTGTCTTACTTAGTCTATCAGATTTTATATATTTCCTGTTGATATCAACATAATTTTAGGTCCCAACTCGTTAAATAATTTAAATAAATTTGTTTTTATTGAACTTTCTAATGTTTTTGTGGATTAGCAAAGGAACAATATAGGACAAAATTTAGTCGAAAACATGCACAGACTGAAAGTTTTAAATCATATAACATAAAATTATCTTAGAAATAAAGCTTTTAACGATGAAGAAGCTTTGAAAAATATATATTGAACTATATCGTGAATATAGAATGTAAACTACATCGTTTTAATAAGTGCATTTATTGAAATTATAATTTGTCCGTTTATGATACTCAGTTTCTATTTTTTATAAACTATTTTCTCAAGAGCAATGCTAGTTTCTACTTACTTCCAGGGTTTCAACTTTACTTTGTTTCAACGAGGTACGTTTAAGTTGAAGAGCTTTTTTGGCTTGGTTCGTTTGGTTGCTCTTGCTATTTTTATGTAATTTATTGCAATAGAATGCAATAGAAACATAGAAACTCTCGCTAATATATACAAAGAAGCCAAAGCAAGAGTAATGATATATACAAAACAACCCCAGAGTTTCCAACTGACAAAGATGTACGATAGTACCTATACCTTGTTTAGCATTAGTTTACCATCAGCGCCTATTGATATTCTTTTATAACTTTATCTGCTTTAGCTCATATTGAATTTATATTAAATTTCAGATACGAAAACAACTCCGGACACCGTATGCCTCAAAACCGGGTGGTTCTCTGCCCTTTTAGCCCTTGGTGGAGGCGCAATGTGCCTCTTGGGTGGCGCGCTTCTAGCCACCTGCACGAGAATGCGAAAAATAGCCATAGACAAAGTACTGTCCACCACCCAATTCAATGGATACATGAACCACCGGGGAAGCATCAATTAAGAGTTTAGAAATTAAGAAACACATAGAAAAGACAGTGATATTTGTGAGATTTTTTGTAATGTTTTACATGAACGTTGTGTTCCATAAGTTATTACGTAGGCTTGTTGTGTATTTGAGTGATCTTACAAGCGGATCGATAAAATTGTTCAATTGTAACAGATAGTTTCATCCTCCATTGTATTTTTTTTATACAGAGTCAGATATTGAATTAACTATGTCGTTACAATGTGATCTGTATTATTTATCTTAACATATAAAGTGCTAATAATGTGTTAATAACAGTAATTCTAGTGATATTTGTGCACGTTCACCGGCACGAAAACGAGAACTTTAAAATTTTCTTACTTTATTAAAGTGTTAACAAGGAACTTTATATCAAAAAACATCTTTGTACTTATAAATTTCAGCCGAAATATCATAAACAAACTTCCATTCAAATCTAAAACGGCAAAAATTAAAATGGCGCTCGACCTTGCCAGAGGCCTCGGGAGTTGACACATGGCTGACACACAGACAAAAGAAGAGGACGCCGACGTGCATAAAAATGTTCCGTAACTGAAATCGACAGAAATCATATAGAAATATTCAGATTTTTGTCTAGGACAGTCTAGAAGGCCATGCTTTCTGCCTGGGTAAGACCGCGCCAGAACTGTTTCCAATTTTTCGGTTTACTGTCACCCCCCTGCGATGGACTATGGAGAAAAATCTCCGAAACCGGTCGTCGAATGGCTGTTCCCTTCGGTCTGATGCAGAGAGAAACTAATAACTAAAGTGAGAGGGCTTGTGGAATAAGGCATTTCGTAGACAAGTTTATTTTGTCACCGCGCATCCCAGACGCGATAGCGTTTGGCGGTCACAAAAGGAAGTTTTCAACTTTGCAAGTTAAACATTTGACAGGATTAATTAGATTGTGAGTAGCTTTTTCTATTTCTTAGCTCTAGAAGGAGATAACTAAAATATGTTGATAATCGGAGCAAATCGGAGTAATAAATTGTTTTTGACTGAATTTGCCTGTTCTTTTAGCTTGTCAGAAGAGAAGATTATTGTCATTATTGATTATTTCAGATTCCACGATTATTCCGCATTTTATAATTTTTGTTTCGTGGTTGAGACCCAGACAAAACGTTTCCTTTAAAGGTAAGTTTATCTCGGTAATTATTTTAACAAACCTAATAGTAATAGTGAGTGCACATAATACTCGTACATTGCTAATTTAATATTTTTAATTTAAAACATTACATTCTTTTCTGATACCTATGGAACGACTAGGTATTAAACCTGGTATTATTTCCAGTAATACAAATTATTTTCTTCAACTGCTAAGTTCTTGTTATACAATAAAGACCATCAAAAACATTGAATACCTACGGGATACCGACTGATACTCTGTGCGAGCTCCAAACCGTGCTTTCCTTTTCACTCCCAACCAAGTTAGATAAAAAAGATACTGAAGATTACAGCCTTGAGTTGGAGTATGGCAAGGAGTCTGGAGTTAAATAAATTATTATGTTCCTACACAGTATTTTATTTATAGGTTTTAATGCTTTAAAGTCTAATAATAAATTTTTGGTGTCAAGAAAATAATCTAAAAAAACTACGAAGATTTCTTATTACAAACTTGAAAGATTAAGATTCGGTTCAAATATACAAATTTTTAATTTTTGGCGCCTGTATATAGGTATGAATGCAACCTACTATATCGATAATACGCTCATAGTTCGGGTTAGACGCCAAAGGCCGCGCCACTAACACAGTCTTCAAAAATTAACGTTGATCAGTCTCTCTCACTTTAGTTATTAGTGTTCTCTCTGGTCTGATGAACTTAATGCAGAAAATAAGCATATATGTAGGGTTTTTTGGCCCCTTTTTCCGCTACTCGTATTTTTGTTTATTTATTATATATACCCTACCTAAGCCTTCTTAGCTCCATCTACGGTAACGTGGATGAAGCAAGCATGGTTTAGTTTTTTTGATTGGTTTTGTTTCTTTTTTTAGATTTCCAGCTGAATTACGTACTTCAAGTATAGCTCTAGATATAAACGACTGGAAAACCAACTTGGTGTTTCCTGTATATCAATCAACCGGCCCGAGATCATATGCCAATGCCACTGGAGCGATTCCAAGTAAGTGTCCGTTCTGTTGATCTCCGAAATAATTAAACATAAAGGCCCATGAATCCTATTGTAGTCGTAGCCAACAACTTATGTAAATGTTAAGAATGAAAATTGTTGTAAAGGTTAAGAATGAAGAATAAAAGCTCCACATTGTATTTTAGAAAAACTTATTTGAAATTGTTTAAAGAACTCCTAAAAATGAAGTAAATTGTGGATTTTTGGCCACTGGAAGAGAATCTACAAAACAATAAAGTTATTTTTTGTAAACACCACTGCGTTAAATCCAAACGGATTTTAGCTGGTCAGTGATATTTTACTAGTAAAACAAATTTGCCTAACTTTGAATGTGGTAGACAATGATTAAGTATTGAAACTAAAAGAATTTTTTACTTCCATTGTCTATTTATTTTTGATTTGGTTTGGTTTGGTTTGGTTAACACAACGTTTCGGTCTGAAGGATCACTATACTTGATAACAGTCAGTGATTCCTCTGATCGAAACGTTGTGTTAATCAAAAATAAATAAAGATAATGGAAGTAAAAAATTCTTTTAGTTTCAAAATGCTTAACGTTTCAGGATATACAGGGTGGTCCGAACTGTATTCCGGAAACTTCGGCAACAAATTCTGCAGGTAAAAGTAAGTAAAAAAGTTCTTATAAATGCATGTCCTAAAATGCTTTGCTCTCGTACTTGTAGAGGGCGCCACCTACATATTTTTTAACTGGTTTGAAGAGTAATAACTTTTCGCTCGTACCTGTATAAAACTACCCATATAACACACAATATCCGCAGGATATTCACAGAATGTCAGAATGTCCCATTATAAGATCATCTTATAAAGACATCTATAGGATATCCTCCAGACATCCTGAAATCCTATAGATGTCTCAGAATAGAATATCCTATGGATATCTCTGTCGTATGTCTAATGTACAGCTGGTTCCAATAAAATTGAATACGATTTAAAACATATTTTTATTATTCCGGGCAGTATATTCTATGATACCAGTCACCCATTTCTCTATTCATGTCATGCTGACGTTCTGAAAAATTTATTTGCCACTTTGTCAAAAGAAAAGTTGTTTTATACAATGTCACAATAACCTTAACATATCAAAATACTTGACACATAAATATACACTGCCCAAATATTTGAAAAAATGTGCAAGAGTCGTATTCATTCATTTTTTGGAAACCAGCTGTACATCCAGCTGAGATATCCAAACATGCTCATGATAATAAAATATCCTAATAATATCGTCCAGATATTTAGGAAAAATAAATAATGTACTACTTTTTATATTACATAAAATGCAATAAACCATACAGATAGATATGTATTACGTCAAGGCAACAAAATATTCTGTTGGTATCTTCTGGATAATCTGGATATTTATGAGCTTGGCCACTCCCAGTAATATAGAGAATTTAAAACGCCCGCGCAAAAAATTTCCCACAATCCATCTCGACAGTTGTTTGTTTTTGCATCGTGTATTATTCAGTTCTTTGATTTAGTGAAATTCGAGGTGAATTCGGTCGTTTGTCGATATTGAATGGGCTTAAAAATGACTGAAACTAACAAAACTGGTTGAGTTTGACTTAGTTTTTTCTTATACTCCTAGTTCTAGCCTTGTTCTAGCAGAAATTCTATCCTAACATCAACTAATGTCGAAAAACGACGAAAGACTCAGGGTCTCACAATGAAAAATTTTGATGACAAAATTATAGGTGAAAATTTGTTGAAAAGCGCTTGTTCTTTATCCCTAAACCCATTTTCGTGTGTGATCTCTTCAAACAGAAACCCTATTTTTGTGTTTAAATTTTTGAGTTTCTGGAATGTGTGGTGTTAGAAATTATATACCTGTATCTTGTGTGCTAACTTTGATGTAAACTGTTGCTGCTAGACCATTTTTTTAGAATTTAGAATGAGTGGGAGGGGGGTTAATCACTTCGACCTTACAGATCCATTTTGTCCCCATTTCTTGAATCATAACTCATCATACAGTCCCAGGGCTTTTGACTAAAAAGCTAGTATCTGGGACGGTTTTTATAGAAGGGTAGTTCTCCATCTCCAATATCAAGTCGTACCAAAATTCATGGCACGAATGGTTACTGTCGTCTCGGCACTCAGTGATGAGGTGTACTGGTGTTTCACTCTTCCCCACAGAATCTGCATTCGCCGTTTCTTCTTAGTTTCAATCTACTGAGGTGTTCATTGAGGAGACAGTGTCCTGTTAAAAACCCCGTGACAATCCGAAGATTGTTCTTACTCAGACCCAGGAAGATCTGTGATTTTTCTTGATCATAAGCCCTCAGAAATGCTAGACCATAGAACACACTAAGCTAGACATAAACTGCTAGACTCCATAAAGGGTAGTATAATCTGGTATAATACCATACGATCGAAAAAAACGGCGTCAGAGGTGGCTTGGAAATGAAGATTGCTGTTATTTTGTATGTAAAATTATATGGGGAATGTCATCGATCGTAATTTTCAAGCCAATTGAACGCCGTATTTTTTTCGATGGTATAGTATAAATTGAAAGCTCTATTAACTCATACAAATAAACTTCTAAATTTTGACGCAAAATTCATTGACATAATTGTAGGTATATCTTAGAGCTGTTAATAAAAATATCAATGAATAACGTCAAATGTGGCTAAATAAAAACTAAATCGCGAACGTTTTTACTATAAACTAAGGATGAAGTTTTGTCAAATAACAGTCCTCATATAATGTCCTTAAAATATTCTATAATGCTCCCAACATCATCCTTGTATTATCCTAGAAATATCCCAAATAATCGTAAAAGGCTTGCCTAGGGATGTCTTGAAGATGACTTTTTGTCCCATCTGGATATCCCATAAATATCCCTCTGGTTTTTAGATATCCCTAAGATATTTACTATATCCTTTGGTGGATATCCTCCAAGATATCTATAGGATTGTGTTGTGTTATATGGGTAGTTAGGTAAAAAATATGCATTTACGACATTTTTTACGTAAAAAAGGTCTCTTGGTAAAAATCGCTACGAGTAATGGTTCTCGAGATATTTGGAATCGAAATTACCAATACCTGACATCATTGACTTAAATTACACATTTGACTAAATAGTTATTAGACTAAAATCATAAATTTGAAATTTTTTTGTGCCGAAAGTTCAACAGAAACTGTTTTATCACCATTTTTTCGAAGAAAAATTTATTATTAGTTTAAAAAAATAAAAGCTCCCAAATTTGTCATTTCAGTCAAATAAAATCGCAAATAACTATCTACTCAACATATGTTTATTTTTTAGTCAATAATGACATGTATGGAATGGACTATTTCCATTGTAAATATCTTGAGAACGGTTGCGTAGCGATTTTTTACCAAGAGACATTTTTTTACGAAAATCCTGAAACGAAAATGTATATTTTTGGCTATACTTAAACTGCCGTTAAACAGTAGCTTACTAAAATGCCGTAATAGGTATGACGTCGTTGATGTGACGCACTTGACGGCTTTATAAAATATAGGAATTTTATAAGGACTAACCAACGCTATCCACCCCACCAAATAACCAACGCAACTAACCTCGACACTGATAAAAAAATTTAAAAAACAAATATAAATTAGTAAAAACCAACCAACCCCACCAAATAACCAACTAACCAATGAATTAACACCCTCCAAATAATCACCCTAACCAACCCGCCAAATAACTAAACCAATCCAACCAAAAAGTCCAATGCAATAAGATCACGCTATAAGCAAAAAAAATATAAAAAAGTCTTGGTCAGCGTGATATTTGAACCTCGGACCATCCGCTCACGAACCGATAGCCTCAGCGACGGAGCCACATGTGCTCTTGCAATATGCTTATGGCTAGGCATTACTTTCCGCCGACATGAACGTCACAATATCTATTAACGGCATTTTAGTAGGCTACAGTTTAAGGGCTGTTTAAGTACATCGTATATTTTTTTCACTAAGTAGTTTTATGCAGCTACGGACAAACAGTTTCAAAGCAGTTAAAACACATGTCCCTTACAAATAAGTCATATTGACATCAAAATCAAATTTCTCAATGTCATATTGACATCAATATTCAAATGTCAAAAACTCCCCAGACGCCAATTTTCATCCAAATATTGACGTTACTTCCAGAAATTATTTGGAAAAATCAAAATAAAAAATGAAGCACTTCTAGACCCCTGAATCTCCTGAAACTAAGCTTTTTTAGGATATGCATTTATAAAAACTTTTTCAATTATTTTTTATCAGTAAAATATGCTGCCGAAGTTTCCGGAATACAGTTCGGATCTGTCATCAGAAGCAAAAAATGCAAATAAACAAAGAAAAAATATATTTTAAATTTCTAAATACAACTATTCAAGAACACTTTATAGTTTTTAGAAGATACCTACCTCTAATGGCCAAACCGTTGACATCGTTTTTTGCTGACAATATGGTTACCGTTTGAATTCAACGCCAGTGATGTTTACAAAAATAACTTTTTTCATTTTTTAGATATTCTTAGATATTCTTCCAGTGGTAAAAAACAGAATTATTTTAAGAAATAAACCCTGTCACAAAGGTATAGAGACATTATTTAGTTTTTCTTTTTTTTTTTTTTTTCGACTACTACAACGAAGGTTTTCTTTCACTCCAGCACATCGTCTCTCATTCTCTACTCTTCTGATAAAAAAAGGAATTACTATTCCCGATTTAACGACTCCCGCTGGCATAGCAAGCTTGATTTTACAATTACAGTTGAACAACATCAAAATTACCAGCTTTTTTATATGAGGAGATTTCCTTATGCCCATTGGCAAAACGATCCGCTGTTGACACCGCTGAAAAGTTTCGTCGGTATCATTATCATGTTGAGTTTTGTTTACACCTGCATCAACACAGTGAAGGCCGTCACAGCCGAAAAAGAAAAGCAACTAAAGGTATGTTATTATATGGTTATTATAAGTAATATGAAAACGATTGTCTAACTTTATTTTTGACCTTGAATCAATATTTAGCAGGTGGAGGACATATACGTATTACTTTTTACAAATATACTCAGCCTAATCTCCAAAAAGTGAAGCCCAAACAGTGAAAGAGAAATATGGAATTCTGCATGAGTCTATTTCACCCGGATATTCATTTAACTGCGCATGCCTTACCTGAAGAAGTTTTCATTGGTCGATGTTTTTAGAGGGAAGTGGTTGACTGACATTTCACCTAACCTTCAATTTTATTTATATTTTTATTGTTTATAACACATTATCATGTAGTTGGAAAAATATCAAAAAATAGTTGAAAACAATAAACTAAACAAAACCACTCTTTCACGCGCACAAATAAAAAGTAATCCAAACAGAACTAAAACAACAATCAATCGGAGTTTGGCGCAATCGCTGTTCAATCCATATCCGGGTGAAATAGACTTATGCAGCATTAATATGGAGCTGAGTTATGTTGTCTTTTTCTTACGGCAGGGAAACAGCACACGGGGTTAAATAGGGAACACTGAGTATATATAGTTATATGTATATGGTGGAGGATCACTGGAGACTTTTGGTAGTTTATTTATTATTATACCGGGTGCGTCTCGAAAGTAGCTCACTCCTATAATTTTTTTAATTCTTCAGATAAAAAAAAACGGGATTTGGTATATGACATAAAATAGGGTTGATTAACGTACTCAATTGTTTTCGGTCACTTCCTGTTTCACCGGAAATGACTACAACTTTTGATTTTTAAATAGCACCCTCAGTATATTTTTACCTTATTCGATAGAAAATGACACTCTGAATATCATATCATATGATAACATTATAAATAACATATCATATGTCAACTTTTGACATTTTAGCTTAAAACGAAATTGTATTCTAAATTTCAATCTAGAGTGCCATAACACTAATTTTTAATCAAAGAGCCTTGGAAAAATAGTTTTGATCGTCTAATGTTTTGAGTGTCGTGTCCTGGCCAGTTAAAAGATGCCCAAATCGTATTTTTAATCATATCTCAATTTTTTCAAATAGAACGAGGGTAGCTCGTTAGCATATGTACAGGCTGTCCCAGAAATAAGTACAAGTATTTTAACTGGTAGTATAAGTTCAGCCTCAGAAACACGCCTACCTATGAGTTTTTTTTCGCGAAAAAAAATGATGGAATTTTTTTTAGTTTTTAATTTAAAAACATAATTTCTTGAAAATGTGACACCATAGGTATTTGATTAAATTTACAAGAAAGAAAATCCAGAAAAGATCCAGTGGTTCTCAAAATTTTAGCAAAAAATCTTTTTAAAATTCTCATAGTAAAATAACTCCGTGATTTTGGACTTATTTGAAAAACGATAAAGAGAAAATATGTTTCTTTTATCGAGATCTACTACCCCTTAAAATACTTGCACTTATTTCTGGGACACCCTGTATATATATAGTGTATAATCTATTACAGCAACATTTTTCGTAAACGTCTACTTGTGCGGTTTGAAATTTTGATGCAAAATCTGGAAGAATATAAAGAATATAATAATAGAAGATATATATCAACCCAACTTTTATCTCTTCTCAATATATTTGATTTGTTATTAAGCTGTCTATATCACTGTCTTACACGTCAAAATTCCGACCACCACTGTTGCCAACTTAGCGGATTTGCCGCTAGATCTAGCGGTTTTTTTTCGGTTTAGCGGGAAAAAAATTTTTTAGATTGTTTAGATTAGATTTTTGAATAATAAATGTGTAAAATTGACACAAAAATTATTACATAAATTTTAAAAAACGATTTTTTTTGAAAATTTGCACAAATAGTCATGTAATTATTCTATATTCTTAAAGTACCTAGGTCTAGAATCGCCTAGAATCTTCGAAGTCTCCTTGAATCTCTCTCTCATCTAGAGTTGCCAGACGTCCGGGATTTACGGGAAAATTCAGAATTTCAGTATGTTGTCCGTTTTTTTTTCGATCATACGGTACCTTTTATTATGTTTTTGGTTTGGTTTGGTTGGTTGTTATTATATAAAGAATATAATAATAGAAGAAATATATCAACCCAACTTTTATCTCTTCTCAATATATTTGATTTGTCATTAAGCTGTCTATATCACTGTCTTACACGTCAAAATTCCGATCACCACTGTTGCCAACTTAGCGGATTTGCCGCTAGATCTAGCGGTTTTTTTCGGTTTAGCGGGAAAAAAATTAATTTAGCGGCTAGCGGTTTTTTTAGCGGTTTAGATTTTTGAATAATAAATGTGTAAAATTGACACAAAAATTATTACATTAATAAACGATTTTTTTTGAAAATTTGCACAAATAGTCATGTAATTATTATATATTCTTAAAGTACCTAGGTCTAGAATCGCCTAGAATCTTCGAAGTCTCCTTGAATCTCTCTCTCATCCAGAGTTGCCAGACGTCCGGGATTTACGGGAAAATTCAGAATTTCAGTATGTTGTCCGTTTTTTTTTCGATCATACGGTACCTTTTATTATGTCTTTTTTTGTATTTGTGTCAATTGGCTTGGACGCGGTTTAAGATCCTTCCCAAGCAGCATTTAGACGTCGGGACAACGTTGTGTCAGGCGACCCAACGTCGGGGCGAAACGTCGGCACAACCTCGTGCCAACCCTAGTCTGCACTAGTTTGGAGAATAATTTTTGTGTCGAAACCACGTTGGATACCGACGCCGGCGTTGGCCAGCAGCCTAATTTAGTACAAACTGCAACGTTGTTTAAAATCCTAATTCACAGAAATACAAAATTATAATAAATATGGCGTCTAAGTCGCGTTTTGTCCTAAATTGAGATAATTATGGTAAAAATATTATTTTTATGATTTAGTTAGAGACATATGCCAGATGGCAGTAAAGGAAATCAAAACAAAAGTATTTAACTGTGTGGAGGATGTTTGAAGATCATAATTATTGAAACACTTTAACCGACTCGTTGTTACTTGTTACCCAAGGCAAAAAAGTTAAACGCAAACAACTTTATTGATAAATGTACTGTTTCTACTTAGAAAAATTCTAATGGGCCTTAAAATTAAAGAAGTTTTAAAAAATTTCTTGATTTTTTTTTTTTAGTAAAATGAGAATAATTTATTCGCAGTCGAAAAATTGTTTCCGCGTGTTGTTTACAAGATTTTCTTATTCAACAACATGGCGGCTGTCAGTTTGTTGTTTTGGAGATTAAGATGGAGTAGTTCGAGTAGTCGCATACTGGACTAATAAAGTCGCAGTTCAGCCTTAACAACTAGGTAGTTTACTAGTCGCAAGATTCCCTAATTTAGTCATCCTAGAGTCTAGCTTGTGCCGCCCTCTATATTCTAAATAAACGAGGGAGTGGATAAAGTATCGGTAATATGTCGATGTACATTTAAATTTAGTTTTATATGTACCTTTCTTATGTCCCACTTTAATTAAGTATTTTTTATAAAAACAAAAACAGCACTGAACTGTCTGACTGAACAGAACAATGAAGTGAAAATTTAAGATTTAAGGTTATGGTTCAATACAGTTGAAAAAAGGTAGTGGCTCGACGTCCTACCAACGTAAGAATAAGGAAATCTAAACAACGTGAATTAGTAAAACAGACGACGTTTGCATAACGTTGGAATAGGTCCTGAAAGTGATGTCGGAAAACTCTTTATTGCCCAACATTGTAACTACGTTGTCCGAATCACCTAAAGATCACTTAAGCAAAAAAGGTTACATGACAACGTTTATTCGACGTCGCAGAAGCTTTTACTTTGTTTTTACATTTATTTTAATACCCAAGGTACGGAGCTAACTAAATTTTGTAACTAATCCAACGTTGTGTTTAGTAAACATGTGGTCGCAAGTCGTGAAAATGCTACTTGGGTTTTATGCGTATAGTAAACACTAACATCTAATCTAAATAAATATGTTTTCGTTCTTTACATTACAGGAGGCAATGAAAATTATGGGCCTACCCAACTGGCTACATTGGACTGCCTGGTTCCTGAAAAGTTTAAGCTACCTCCTAGTCTCGATCATTTTAATGGTGGTCCTGCTGAAAGTCAGATGGTATACCAATACGGAGTTTACGGTTTTCACCTACGCTAATCCGTTTGTCATATTGCTGTTCCTATTTTGTTACATATGCGCCACTATTACTTTCTGCTTTGCCATAAGCGTATTCTTTTCTAAAGGTTTGTAGGTATTATGATAATAATCTCTTTACTGTAATTTTTTGGATATATCACACACAACTGAAACGATAAATTTGAATCTCTTATTTTTCTCTAAAATGGTATGAAAATTTGGAAAAGTATAAACGGGATTAACCATTATAGAGGAAGCAAACTTTTTTTTATAAAGAATGCATTTACTTCAAATGTTAATATTGAAAAAGTGTTTTCACTCGTTAAAACAAAACGGGTACATACTGTATACAAGTTTATTGCTTATTTATTTATTTTTAAGAGTAAATTTTAGGCAATTTCTGTACAAATAAAAGAAAATTGTCTCATCGTGCATTCTACACTCTTTTTTTCAGAAAACATGTACTTTTTTATTACTATGTATTATATACCGGGTGTTTATCGTCGGACGGGACATAGGAAAACTTATGTAAATTTTAATGGGGTCAATTATTGACTTCCCTAATTATTTAGAGAATAATCTATTTAGGTTTATTGGAAGAGCACTAAATCCCACATTCAAAAGAATAACTTTGGATATTTTTGATTAGCTCGTTAACGAGTTATCGCCGATTTCTTTTAAATATTTCTCCTTTCTTTATGGCCCTATATTTACTTATGAGCACCAGTCAAGGTAAGAGATAACTGTCAAATGAAGTTGTCATTTCAGAAATTTACCTATTTGTGCTTCTTTATTATTATTGAAAAATCATTCCTACATCGGAAATCTTAAAGATCTATTTATAAATACAAATTAATATGAATGAAAGCAAATAAAGTAATCAATTACAAGGTTAATTATAGTTTTATTACAATATTCAATAACTTACTAATTTAGGTACTATTAAATTGTCAGAACTTTAGGATTTAAGATGTTCAAATATTCCTTCATCGACTGCTAGACAAAAACCCAGGCGATCATAAAATTCCTCTTCTTACATGCGTTAGTTGGTAAACTGAAATCTATTGCATCTGGCAGAAATAGCATTTTTAACTCGTCTAGATTTTGGTATTTTTATCCTTGTATATCCTATTATTTTTAAATGGCTCCAGAGAAAGAAATCATTTGGCGAAATATCAGAGACCTTGCTGGCCAATTCTACTGTATGATTTAGGGCCAATAACGTTTCCGTTAAAACTATTGTATAAATATTCAAGAACAGCCAGGGTACTATATGTGCCAGGCAGCCATCCATTTGGTACCAAACTTCCTGATTTTCCCTAGCGGCATCATGTAAAGCAGGTAAAATATGATTTTCGAGTAGTTCTAAATAATATTCTGCATTTAAATTTCGCGTAAGAAATAATGGCCCGATAATATTGTGTCCGAATATCTCTGCCCAAACATTTACTTTCTATGGATATTGCGTCCTTGTTTCGACAAACCTGTGTTGGTTTTCTTTGTTCCAATATCGATAATTTTGAACATCGGGTTCATTTGGTAAGGTAAACGTGCATTCATCAGTGAAACATATGTTTTTTAAAAATTCCATATCCGTGTATGCTCTTTCCATCATATCAAAACAAAACGCCTTGCGCCGTATTTCGTCCCCATCTCGTAACTCTTGGTGCTTTCATATTTATAGAATAGTATTTATGTCGTTTCAAAATTCGAAACGTTGTAGTGTGATCTATTCTCCTATTTCATCCTCAAGTTTCCTTTGTGCTGATCTTTCCATCGTTCTCTTCAACGCACAATAAACTTCCTTAAGTCGGTATCATTTCTTGCATTTTCTCTTTGTTCCTGTCTTGCTTCACATTTGCAGTTATTTATTGGGTACCTTTGGTCTCAACTCTCTGGATATTCCTTGCGATTGTATATTTTCCAGGTATCGGTCTATTCCGATACAGAGCAGCAACATGTTCGACACCTTTGGATAACTATTTCCTTGATATTACCATTTAATCATCAATACATTTTCTTCGGTAGTGTAATTCATGGCTAATATTTTCTTTGATGTAGGTATGAGTTTTAATAACAATAGTAAAGTACTAAATAGATAAATTTCTGAAATGACAACTTAATTTGCCAGTTATCTTTTACCTTGACTGGTGCTCATAAGTAAATACAGGGCCATGAGGAAGGAGAAATATTTTAAAATAAATCGGCGATAACTTGTAAACGGGCTAATCAAAATATCTAAAGTTGTTCTTTGAATGTGGGTTTTAGTGCTCTTCAATAAACCTAAATAGAATTATTCTAAAATAATTAGGAAGCCAATAATTGACCCCATTTAAATTTACATGGGATTTCCTATGTCCTGCGCCCGACGATGCACCCGGTATAGATTTTGTGTCCAAAATATTACCATAATGAACCATGTACAGGGTGTTTCAGTATGCGCTATATATCTCAGAGGAGATTTCACGTTGTGTCAGGGATTCTTTTTCATATCAACATGTCTGATTCTGTTTTTGTTTCGTAGGTACAGGGTGTTAAAGTCTTAATAATCTTTCGACTTATTATACTCCTTATTCTAAGTACTTTAGTGATTCGAATGAATTTTGAGGGTAAAAAGTTACTATAAGTGTTATATATTTTAATGCTAAAAAGTGTCGATACATTATCAGGGACGTGCATATGGTTATCACTAGATGAAAAGTCAGTGGCGCACGTTTTGCCACTGACTTTTTTTTATATATAAAATTGTGTAGGTCGTTTAATGCCAGTTAAAAGTTATCTCTTTGATATTTTGTCGAATTCGGCCTCTTTGATGAGATAAAACCATTTTATTAATCACAATTAATAAAAATAAAAAAATGAATAAATATCTAATTTATTATTAAATATTATTACTATTAGTATTATTACTACTAGTCCAACCTACAGCAATTCCAAATAAGAAGTCAATGGTATTTAAGTTAAATCCAAAAACTTAATTTTAAAAGTTTATTTTTTTTTTTTTTTTTCAAAACTATGCATTTCCATACCCATGTTTATAGAAACTTTTTTTTCATATTTTTATGAATCAATGAGTACTTATTAAAAAACTTTCGCAAGTTAATGATATTATTTTTTTTAAAGGTTGCTATTAGACCTTGGAAATCAAGGTAAATTAATAAAATCGCGTTTATCTCAATAAGGAGGCCGAAATCGACAAATATCAAAATACAACTTAATCGGCATTAAATTCCTCACACTATTTTGCTAACAAGAAAAAAAACTCAGTCGCGTACATGTTTTTTTTTAGAAAAATATTCCAGTGACCACATATGCACGTCTCTATAGTAAATATGCCGCCACTTTTTTATATATTCTATATTGAAAAAATATTAAGATTTTAACAGCCTGTAGCTACGAAAACAAAGCAGAAACGGACCTATGTTGACATAAAAATAATTTATTTTTACGTGAGGAATCTCCCCACGAGAGATGACACATGTTTTTCGAAACGCCCTGTATAAGGCAACATTTAATATTATTCCCATCATTATTTTTTATAGCAAATTGCCGCAACTATTGCCGTGGGTTAGCCTGGTTTTGTCTATGCACCTTCTTATTTTACAAAGAATTACGAGTACCTACCATTAGGTACAAAACTAGCTACCTCGTTGGGTTCTAACACGGCTATGGCCTTTGGATTCCAACTGATGCTGATGTTTGAAGGCACAGGAGACGGTAAAAAAGAACTTTTAAATGCTTTAAATCAAGCTTAAAACTTACTTTAATTAATGATTCTAGGTGTACAGTGGGACAATATATGGAGCCCTAATACTCCTGACGATACTCTTACTTTAGGACATCTAATGGTGATGCTGGTAATAGACTCAATAATTTACCTTCTAGTAGCTTTGTATGTAGAAGCTATCTTTCCTGGAGATTATGGCATACCCCAGCCTTGGTATTTTCCATTCACATCGTCTTACTGGTGTGGGAAGAATCATGTTGGTAGGTACACTTGGAAAAGTCAATATATTCGACCTGTTTGTGTAAATTAAGAATGTATAGTAGATATCATACGGGAAGGTAAAAATACCGTCATGTCATTATACTGTCGTGCAAAATAGAATTATGCCGCTATGGCATGCCTGATTTTACTTAGCTGTATACCAATATAGCTGTCAAATTAGTTAAATTTTAACTACTCAGTGACCGTATTGTGTCAGTTGAAACGAAAAAAATTCTCAGAAATTTTACGAAAATGTGTACTTATTCTATAGCAGGTGGCCGGCCGTAGCGCAAGCAGTAGTCTCATAGTCAAGGGAATGCCGGTTCCGCATTAGTAGCGTTACAATAGCGACCGTTCCAGAGAAATACCGCGATTTTGTAACCGAGGATCCAGCTTCCAAAGTGTCGCTGCTGTCACTGTACCTACCTACTTCTTCCGAACTAAAGCACTCGAGTTTAAAGAATGGCTTTTACTCAGAAGTTTACATGTAACACACAATGAAATATTTAGATTTACTTCTTCGATGCGTTATAACCGTTGCCAATTTAAATTAAAATTTGTGTAAGAATGGGCTATATTATTTTTATCTTTTTTGTAAAATCTAATTTTGCTTTAGAAATAGATTTAGCAAACAATAGAAAGATAACATAATTTGAATCATTATTTGAGATACCTACGCCATATACTAAATTTCTTTATCTGCTTGTATGTTTTTATCTACTATCTACTATCTTTTTTTCGGTCATATTTCTTCTTTGTTTTTTCTTATTTTTGTAAAAATGTTTATTTGTAACTATCTAATGTACCTAACATGTATTTATTATCAATCAAAAATGCCTTGTACCTAGACCTACCTAAATCGCGATCTCAAAAATAAAGTAACGAATGCAACGGGAGCATCAACGCCAACGATCAATGAAAGCGCGACGTTACGTATTTACCAGTTCCAGTTACTACTGTCCGCGACCGACGAAAACTCCACCCTAGAGGAGCACTCCAACGGTCAACGCGACCATTGGCACCAGGGCAGGCACGTCGCGGTATGGGACTCGTTACCAGTTACATCTCTTCGCGACAGACAAAGCGGTCGAGATCGCGCGACACTACGTACTTACCAGTTCCAGTTACTACTGTTGGCGATCGACGAAATCGCGACCCTGGGAGCGCCACGGCTGGAGCGAAATACGGCCCTATGCGGTTACTGCGGTTCGAAACTCCTAGAGCTATTATGATGAATTTATTTGTGGTTATAAATAATTTATAGTTTTGCCGTTATTATGATCGTCGTTCTTCAGTAACAGTTTCCTGATTCATTATGGAGCGCGACACGACGCACACACGACAAAATGCTATATTAAGCAGTAAAATCAAATTACAATTTTTTTTCGTAACAATCCCGCACTGTCATTCTTATAAAATCTGTGGACCCTAATTTTACGATATTTATAGGGCGTTAGCCTTAACAAACGTGGAGCGCATAAGGGTTACATTTACACCAAGCACAGCCACAGTTTGAAATTAATTATTATTATGGACAATGCCACGTCCCGACGTATGGTACAATTAAATAATATCAAGTGAATCTTATTTCTGAATGTAGATAATAGTTATTTTTATAAAGATAAAAATGAAAAGAATTTGAGAAATATTATAGAAATTATTGGCTGAGATGTTTTGCAGGTAGAAAAATATTGTACTGGGTTGGCGTTGGTTTCTATGTAATTTGACAAAATAAATAAAACTATCTCTTTGGTTATCAGTTTTGAGCATAGTAAACATTTTTAATTCTCTTTGGTGTCGATTTCACAGTTGAATTGGAGCCAGAAGTGGCTCAAAACCATTTAAAGTGAAATAAATTAAATTAATAATAATCCTGTAATAAATGAATTAATTCAGGCTGAGACTCAAACGGTCATATCTAAACTACTTCCATTTTAAATCCCTAATAATAATTTCCTGCAATACATCCTATAATACCATTGATTTTTTTTTATATGCTTTATATCTCGCCAACAAAGATTTGAGTTCCGCTTTTAATTTATTAAAATTAAAATTACTAATGTATGTTGATACAGGTATAAAAAATCAGCTTTCCCAAATCTGCCCTTTCTTGAAATGGCCCTTTATTTGCAGCGAGTCGCAACCGTAACCGTCGCACTGGTTCTATACCAGTTCACATAATATCAAAGTTCTTTTAAAGATTTAAAGAAAACAGATATTCTAAATTATGAATTTCTAAGTTTATTACAAGCTTTTTCATATAATGATGACGGTAGCAAAAATTCAAATTGCTGTGCTGGATGTAAATGACTCTTTTGCTCTCCACGAAAGGTGCGAACCATAGACCAATGTCACATTACTAGAGATAGATTGGACACTGATATAAAACAAATGGGTCCGTCATTTAAGAGCTACCTAATTTGATCCAGGAAGAAACTATTGGAGAGTTTTGGCATGTCATAATTTTAACGTTCCGTTACTTATTAACGCTAATTAAGACGGTAACGTTATTCAAGAGTAAAATTATTCCTTGTAAAATATAAAATAGTAAATATAGACTTTTACCGCCATTTTATGTTTTATTAGATTATTAGAAGTGTAACATAACAAAATTAAAATTATAAATACATACATTTAAACACCAATAATAGATCACATAGCGCCTATTTTTTTTTTGATTTTAACAAACTAAATTACTAATATAGTAAAATATTGAATACCAATTAACTGTTACTAAAAGAAATACTATATATTACCAACTATGTACTTTACTTATTTATTATTAAACTGTTTTTTTATTTGGTTTATAAATTATTATTTCTAAAATGTCAAAATGACTTTAATAAAAAAGTTTAGTATCTAACACGAAAATCATGATCGACTGTAAATACCAGAATGAACCAAAGGAATGCACAGACTGGCTCTGGTGCACAATAGGTCCCCACGCATTTAACACTTTTTAGTATAATCATTAGTTAATAAGAATAAATAATTTAAAAAAAAAAAAAATTGTTGGATGAATGTTTTTTATAAGAAAAAAAAAAAAAAAAAACGTATTTTAGGTACAGGCGACGGACAGAAAATATGTTAGAATTTTTACACAGTTCCAGTAGAAACATCCATGTAGTACTTTATTACCTTATATAGACGTGGAATGATCTAATTTAAGCACGAAAATGTAACGAATCTTCTTTCTAAGCATAAAAATTAAGGAAAATATATTTATTTACATCAGCTCAAGCTAGCAATTTTATTACTTTTTTCGATTGACGGTTAATCGATCATAAGAATTACTTTATATGATTTTCTTCTGAAATAAAGTTGTTGTGGTGGGACTTAAAACGGTAATTTATCACTTTAGTGCAACAAAATTTGAACTGTCTAGTAGCTTATTCGTTAGTGTGGATTATTTTGGCAATTTCTGAAATAAAATTTGCGGATTTTTCAGGTTCTACGAAAATATAAGTTTTTAATATATGCATTTTTACAGACACTTGTAATCAATGAAGTTTTGTCATTAGGCTCAATTAGGTTAGCGTGGTTATTTGGAAGGTGGTAATGCATTGGATAGCCTGGTTGCTGGAGTTAATGCAATGGTTAGCCCTAGTTATTTGGAGGGTGGTAATGCATTGGTTAGCCCTGTTATTTGGGGGTTCCCAGTTTAGCCCTGTTATTTGGAGAGTGTTAATGCATTGGTTAGCCTGGTTATTTGGAGGTGGTAATGCATTGGTTAGCATGGTTATTTGGAGGGTGTTAGTTCATTGGTTAGCCTGGTTATTTAGGGGTGTTAATGCATTGGTTAGGTTAAGTTAGATAGGCTGGTTATTTGGAGGGTGGTAATGCATTGGTTAGCCTGATTATTTGGAGGGGTGTTAATGCATTGGTTAGCCTAGTGATTTGGAGAGGTGTTAATGCATTGGTTAGCCTTGTTTGGGGATGTTAATGCATTGGTTAAGTTAGGTTAGATATTCTGGTTATTTGGAGGGTGGTAATGCATTGGTTAGTCCTGGTTATTTGGAGGGTGTTAATGCATTGGTTAGCCTGGTTATTTGGGGGTGTTAATGCATTGGTTAGGTTAGGTTGAGGTAGAGGAGTGTTTGGAATTACGCAGATCACATCGATTTCGGAATCTTACTGAACTGAAAAATATATTTTTAAACAAAAAAAAAAAAAAAAAAAAAAAAAAATAATTTTTATTGTCAATTTTATTTTTATAGTGTTTTTGTTTTTCCTCGTTTATTATATTTTTAATTTTTCGTGTTCTTAGTGTGCGTACTAAATGTAAAAAAATGAATATAAGAGTGGGGCGTTTCGTCGATTTACACAGGGTGAGTATGGCAACACTGTGCATAACCTTTTATTTTACTGTCTTTATGAAGGTTATAATAGGGAGGTTTCGCATTGAAATGTAGTGAAAATTTACAGATTTTCAATTATTTTTTCATGAAAAAATTGGTTCATCCAACAATTTTTTTTTCTTTTAAACCATTCCATTAACTATGGGACCCACATTAAAAATTAAAAAAACCACAATTCCATTTTGGGACCTGTTCTACCTGAGACCCCACAGACTAATAAGAAACACAAACTATAAACACAAATCCCTCAAATCCCTCAAATGGCAAAAAAATATAAAAAAATCTGAATTAATAATTATTTAAAATGTGATTTAAAAATAAGCATTTGTGGTCCACCCAACATTTTATCCAACTTCAGACTAGCATAGCAGACCATAGACAATAGTTAACATAGAGACTGTCATGTCATCTTCGTAATATAAATTAGAAACCTACAATTTTGATGATTTTGCGCCATGATGTCATGTGGAAGAAACTAAATTTGTAGTTCTATAAAATTACCATTGAGTGTCTAGGGCATGGTGCGAACTGCGTCAATTTTCGGTAACGTTTGCACTACTCTAGTTGAATGGAAAAATTTATAATAAATTATTACATTATACTGTGTAATGAGAAAAACAATGTGTGGATAAGCATACGAAAAAATCTAGTTTTGTCCAAATGGCTTATGGGATTTTTACCGTGTACGACGTTACAGGAAAATACCGTTCCAAAATCGCTTTACTAAAATACCGACACATCACTAATAACTAATTTAATGGTATGGGTCGTTACCAGTTACCTCTCTTCGCGACAGACAAAGCGACAGAGATCGCGCGACGCTACGTACCAGTTACTACTGTTCGCGACCGACGAAATCGCAACCATAGGAGCGCGACGGCTGGAGCTAAACTTTTGACCTATGCTGTTACTGCGGTTCGAGCTAACTCCAAGAGCGAGTGATAAGTGTGATAAACCTTAATCAAGTTACGTTCATTTTAATCAGCTAGAAACTAAAATGTAATAATATACAGGGTGTTCTATTCAAAATACAACTTTAATATTTTTTATTTGTTTGGTCTGTATCTTGTAAAATATTTTTACCGCTCTGTATCTTGTAAAATATTTTTTAAATTGTAACTCTAATGGTCCTTTAGCAGACCCAGAGCACAATTTAGCAAAGTTTATTCGTTTAGCTACACTACTCCGTGTCGTATGTGGTGAACAACCCTATATTTTATTTGCAAGGTTATAAATAATTTTGTAGCTTTGTCACGTTATTATGATCCGTCATTTCTTCAGTAACAGGGACCTGGACTTCGTTGTGGAGCTGACACGAAAACGTATGAAAAATACCAACTCCAAAATCGCGTTACACAAATACCGACACATCACTAAAACTAGATTTAATTTCTTTTAGCCGTCGAGATCTCGGCAGTTCGGAGCAAGACAGCGAATTTTTCGAAGGCGAACCGAAAAACCTACGCGTCGGTATCCAAATTAACAATCTGAGGAAGGTGTTCGGAAAAAAGGCCGCCGTTCGAAACCTGTCGCTCAACATGTACCAAGACCAAATCACCGTTCTCTTGGGCCACAACGGCGCAGGAAAAACGACCACAATGTCCATGTTAACGGGGATGTTCCCGCCGAGCGGTGGTACCGCTGTGATCAACGGGTACGACGTAAGAACCGATATAGATGGAGTGAGGAATAGTTTGGGGCTGTGTCCTCAGCACAATATCATTTTTGACGAGCTCACAGTGGCGGAGCACCTGTATTTTTTCAGCAGGTTGAAGGGTATGTCGGGCAGTGAAATTGATGAGGAAATCAATAAGTACGTGGAGTTGCTCGAGTTACAACCAAAGGTACATTAATATTTTTTAAGAAGTGTAAAAAATGTTGAATTAAAAACTAGGAACTATTGGTCAAATACTACCTTTATATTCGTTATTAAAAAGACACTGTCACTTTAATTTGACTAAACTCGACACTTATTTTCCGTTTTTTTGTAGTTATTTTATATTATTTATTTATTTTACAATTGATTTTTATACGAAGTAATGTACAAATTTGAAGTAACGTTGGGTAGGAACTTCAGTGAGAGTGAGATTATTGCCAATCTTAGAAATGAGTTTCAAAAATACTTATTTCAACAGCATGGGATCGTTTGCACTAAAAAAAACTTTCTTTCGGCTTGGTGCATTCTCCACCGATGTTACCTGCCACCATCTGGGAATATCGTAAACAACTAAATCGTAATATTTTACTTATCAAAATAATTAAATAAAAAAATGTATTATATAATTATTCTAAAGTGTTCTAAAATAAAAAGTAGAAATATTTGTACAGTAGCTTCAGGAGGTCTAGCTTGTATTATAATTTATTATTCCAGCTAAAAGAAACTTTTTCGATGAGTTCAACTACGGTAGCGAGCATAGTTTAATCACCGGTTTTGCGAGTGGGGTCATAATTGGGGCCATTTCGGCTATAACGAAGGAATTTTTAAAGGTACATGAATTATAATTTTAGAGATGTTCCTTAAAATGTTTAATCATTAGTCGATTAAAAAGAGAATTACACCATTAATATTGCAAATTATATTTGATATATGTTTTATCCTCTCATAATATATATCTATTTAATTTTTTGATTATAGAGCAGGCACTGTTTACTCACTTGTTTCGTCGAACTGCTTCAATTCATTTCTGGCACCTTGATCAAATGGTGTGAGAAACTATGAAGCTATAAGATGTGACAAAGGAAAATTGAGTTATTGTTTAAGTCTGAGAAAATTGAGTTGTTGAATTTGTGCACCCAGCAGCGCCCTAATTACGATCTCCTTTACGAGTTAGCTTTTGGCAATTTTAATAACATTTGAAATTGTCACAACCTGGCACGACGCCGACTCCCTGGTTGGAATTCTTTTCCTTATTTTTACTACCCAGAACTACAAACTACAAAACTACCGTTACATCACACAAACCTACCTCGTACCTGAGTGTTGTGGTTTTATAGTCTCAATAACTGCACTAACAAAAAACTAAAATACTTCAATATTATGACAGATGCCACGATTTCAATATTATTTTAATCCGATCAACATGAACTGTAACCGGGACGGCGCAGCGTGAAATACATACTGATAATTTCACAGTTTCTGCCGTTGAAGCGCTGCGGTCAGAATTTATTGAAATAAACAAAATGCACCAAAGCCACCACAGAGAAAATGAGTATACAGAAGGGTCCACAGCACTTGAGACATAGGAAAAATCAAGTCAATTTTAGCGTGTGGCGCAATTTCACACCTTAAAAATAGTTTTTATAGCTATGTTAACTGCAGTGACTCTCAAAGCTGTATGGTTTCATAGAAAAAAGGGCACCTGTAATTCATTTGAGAATGTTATAAAATCGCTAAAGGGGTTTCAAATCTCTTGGTTTTCTATTATTATTAAATAAATTTTATTAAAGAAATTGAACTAAAATTATTGGTATCATTAAAACAATTCAAATTCAAAATTGTATCAGTCAAATTCCCTCATTCAAGAATTGAAAATTGAGTAAATATAAATTACAGCTCATTCTAAGCTCTACTTATCTTAAGAAGAATTTAAATCGATGATTTGCAATTGGGCCTTAATGGCATTTCAAATGAATAATAGTATTAATAATGTACATTATAATAATAATACATGTTATGGCAAAATAAAAACACTAAATCACCACAATACACCAAAACACTTTTACTTTTACACTGGACGCGCGTTTCGCTAACCATGTTAGCATAATCAGCAGATGATTATAAACTAAAGCACAATCTACAAGTTGAGCGTTTATATACTCTCCCAGTGGGCACCGAGTGGGCGTGGCAAAATCTAGCCAACCGAGTCAGAACCCACTGAGCGTAATAGTTAGATTTCCGCCACTAGAGTAGTGTAGGAACAAAGAACTTGTAGGAACTGGACCGTTGTCTCTGTTCATACTATCTTTACATTTATTAGTTCCCAGTGCTTCCTTGTGCATCTAATAATTTGCCTGTAATTTGAGACTTGTTTAATTAATTTTAAATTATTAAGATCTATACAATGTTTCTTTATCAACAATATGTTTGGCAACGCAAGATTTATCGGTCTACCATATCTTGCTTATCTGAGCTAAATGTTCTTTTAAATCTAGTTAATATTGATCTTCTAGTTTGCGCAACATATTTCTGATTTTACAATCTTTACAAGAAATTTCATAAATGCCCGACCTTTTCAGTGGAGGTTTTTTATCTTTTGGATTACCTAATAATTGTTGTAATTTATTGTCGACTTTTCCACAAGTTTATATTTGACATTCTTAAAAATTCTTTTTAAACTACGGGATAACTCTCTATCAAATATCTGAAAATATTTAGATGTCAATTTTCCCGAAATCATTAGCCTATACCACGTTTTCTAATTAATTTATCAACTAATGAAGGAGGATATCCATTACACTCAGCTACATTCCCAATGTAATCTCTTTCTAATTCATATCTTTCCTTTGGAAGGGGGTGGGAAGCTAAGTAATCTATGAACTAAGAATTTTAAACTAGCCATTTTTATGTTTCAACACTATGATGTGATTCATTAGGAATATATCTGCTTGTGGTCGTATTTTTCCTATAGATATCAAATTCCAGACAATTATTAGCATTTCTAATAACTAATACATCTAAATGGTAATCTGTCGTTGTTCTCAATTTCGTACGTGAGATTTATTAGACAGTTGGCTAACTTAGAATAAGGTATCTATGTGTCTGAATGTATTATCCAAAGGAAACAGCAAAATATCATCCACATGCCTAAATAACGCGGAAAATATTCAAACTGATTCTTAGCCTCCACTTCAAACCTGCTCATGAATAGATTAGCCAAAATGGAGACAATGGATTACCCATTGCTTGTACCTTCCACTGTTCAAAAGTTGTTATTAAATTGAAACAATTTTGTTTCATACATAACGTTATAAGCTCAATATATTCACAGTCCTGAGTTTTGTTGTCAGGACCATTTGCGTTCAGTAATTCCTTCAAGTACCCTAAAGTATGTGGAATTGGAACCGTTGGGAACAACGAAGATAAATCAAAGGAGATCAAAATTTCACCTTCATGTAATGTTATATCTTTAATTTTGTTAATGAATTCAATGTTATTTTTAACTGAGAAGAGGGTTCATGATCCAGGTAAATTCTCGAACTCCCCTGATAACATGTTATGTCATAGTGTGTATTATAACTACTAAAACACTTTTGAATTGGTATTATATTAACAACTTTTGTTTTTTTAATCCAAAAATAAAGTAACAAATTCTCAATCAAAATATTTGTAGTCCTGAAAAGGACCTTTGTTTTCCCATGTTCGTCAAGGTGGGTAATGGGTAAACAGTGAAAAAAAAGGATAATGAAATTTAAAATTACGAAAATTGTTCAAAAGTGCCTTCCTCTTGCATTAAACAATAACCCAAACGATCAGGGGTGACAATTGTCAAAGGCGTAAATATTTTCTGCCTTAAGTGCTCCAAGTTTTGAATTTCTTCATGGCCGTGAATTTTAAATTTTATGTACCCCCATAAAATGAATTCACCGAGTGAGGTCAGGTGACCTTGGTGGTCACAAGATGGTTCCATACCCACTAATTAGTCTATTGCCAAAGAAGTATTGTTTAAATATTCTTGCACAATACGACCATTGTGTGCTGGACATCCATCTTGTTGCCACCAAATATCACCAAATTTCTCGCCAAATAATCGTCGAATCGCCGGTAAAATTTGCTGTTGCAATAAATCCAAATATTCCCCAGTATTTAAATTGCCCTCAATAAAAATGGTCCAATAACGTGTTTCCCTACAATATTACCAACCCAAACATTTTAGTTTTTGTGGATATTGGGTTTGCACATTATAAAACCTGTGCAAATTTTCTCTTCACCAATATCGCACTTGCGTGGAGTTTTGCCGATTTAATAAGGAAAAGGACTCATCAGTGAAACTAAATTCTCAAATTTCTAAATCCAAGATTTACTGCCATCATTCAGCTACACTTAACAAGGAAACTCCATGCAGCGGAAATTGATCGTCAGGGGAAAATTTCCTTGAACCTTTCAAGCTTTTCTTGAACGATAACAATGTTTTTGGGACCCTTTTTAACTATTTATTGCCAGATTTACTGCTTCAACAACTTGTGCACAGCTTCTATTTAGTTTTCCCTCGACTACACATTATATTAAGACTTTTGTTTCCTCACGAGAATTATCTTCAATTGTTGGTTTCTTATGCATGTGGGGAGTAACGCAGTCATATTTTCAAAATTTTCTTTATCCTGAATGGGGAGACTTTTGAAGGCACCGGTCTATTCTCGAAGCTTGTCTGAATCCCGTTTTTATTTCCTTAATCGACTTGTTCTGATAAATCTACTTAATTATCTGAATTTTTTCATTAACGTGATACACATGTTTTTAAATGTGTTCCAAAGAATCTAGAGATAGAAATATAAGTTCCAGACATCAAAGTTTAAATAAAATGGGAAATTAAACGTCAGTCTAAACAAAACTGTCATTTTTGAAAACTGGTCAAAATTTGTAACCACCTTGTGTTCTGATTTTCCTATGTCTCGAAGTCTTTGGACTTTTCTGTATAATATATTACAAGTAACCCAATCAGTTATGGACATAGGTTATGGAGTTCGTTTATACAACACCCAACTAATTTATGTTTTATTCTCACTTTATTTACATCTATTACCACTTGCCAATTCATTTTTAATAGGATAGCGCTTTATTTTGATTTTTGTTAGTTAAAGATGTTTGATATTAAATAATATGTAAGTATTATCTAATATCTATATATAAGATTTTTCTGTTAGACAAAACAAAAATATAAAGAGAACATTATTATTTATTTATTTTTTGGTGTCATTTATAGATTTTATGTTTTTGCTTAAAATGTTGTACGAGAAATGCCATTACGTTTTTTGAAACATAAAGTTATGACTATGTATCATATCCTAAAAGATTATGTTGGAGCATATTAGACAAAGCAAAATTCAAAAAGAGTGACAGAAAATACAATTTTTAGCCTGTGAATTAAAATGACAGACATAACTGTCACTATCAGAGATCACTCCCGATGGAAGAGACTATACATACAATTGGATATAAGTATTCTTTTTATATACAGAGGGGTGGTCCGAATTATAATAGGGAAATTTTGGCAACATATTCTGCACACAGTTACAATAAATAAAGAAGTCCGTATAAGTTCATGTCCTAAAATGCCTCGTTTCGGAGATGCAGGATATCAAGGTGTTATTATATATACACCGGAAAAATCTAGGGAAATCATTTTATTAAAGTTAGAAATAAATGTTTGAATAAACAACCACATATTTGTAGGCCGATTCTTTCTACTTCGATTGAAACGAAGTAGTCACACTAGTTATTTCTGAATTTGGGATGTTGCAGGGGTGTTTGTGCATTTTTTTGTCAAATGTATAAAAGCACCTAGCATCATTGTTCGAATTTAAGCTGTACTGGCTATGTTTTTTATGATAGCTGGCCAGAATTCATTCAAATAACACTGTTTAGCATTAAACGACATTATGGAACGTAGACATCTTAACAGACGAAATGCTAAGGGCCATGGGTATGCTCGAAGCTGGAATGCGCCAAATCCACGTAGCTAGGAGCATTACATTACAACGCAAGTGTAATATCGCGATTAAGTGGTGCACGCTACCGTGAAATTGGTGATGTTGCTGAAAGGGACACAGGGCGACATCGCATTACACCCCTCAACCAAGATCATTTTACAATTCGTGCTCGACGCCGACTGACTCTTACAGCACCAGAGCTTAGGACCATTCTCCAGGAAACACATTATGTAACCGTTAGTCCTGTTCGCAATAGATTAAGAGAAGTCAGCTTAAGAAGCAGACGCCCCTGGAGAGCTCAACCCTTAACGGGAGGAAATCGAGAGGTACGTTATTTGTGGGCTCAAGATCTTGTTCAGTGGTCGAATGAACAATGGGCCAATGTTCTCTTCACGGATGAGTCGCACTTTGGAATTCATCCGGATTCTAGAAAGCTTAGGGTATGGAGAGAACCAGGAAATCTTATTCCGGTTGGATCATGTTCCAGGAAGTGCACTTACTATCCAAAGGTGGAACAGTTATGGTCTGGGGGAGAGTCCAGTTAGGCCGAAAAACCGATCTCGTTTTTCTTGGAAGGTTTCTAACAGGAATCACATATCGTGATTTAATTCTTGAGCCCGTCGATATTTTCCCTTTATACCAATGATTTTGGGGGAGGAAACTTCATTTCTCATGCATGATGCACGGCCTCAAGATTGGTAAGTGAGTTTATCAATGCTCATCGATTAAACATCTTACCCTGACAGGCACAATCTCCTGCCTCAACCCCATCGAACACGTATGGGACGGGATCCAAAGAAGAATTTTTGAGAATGGGTATACCTCGTGAAACTCGTAGGGAACTGGTTCGGGCCGTGAATGTAGCGTGGCAGGCTGTACCCTCAAGAAAAGATCGACAACCTGATCACGAGCATGGAGAGATGATGTAGGGCTGTAATGAGCAGTAGAGGAGGCTACACCCTTTATTAAGTAAAATGGTTTTATCTTTTTTTAATTTTTTTTTTTTTTTTTTTTATTTTTTTAATAAAAGTTCAATAAAATCAAGATTTAGAAAAATTCGGTAAATTTCCCGCATTTTTATTTCCAATGCGTCCTATGAAACTATTTGTTTATTTTAATTTTATTATATCAAATGCAAATGTAAAATACTGACGATGGCTGGATAAAATGGCTGTAATATCCCTAGACTTTTCAGTTGTGTGTATTTCGTTTTTTTTTTTTTCTAGATACTTTCTGAACACGACTAACTAATATGCTATTAAACCAAATTTCAGTAAAATGCAAAAAATAAACTTAAGTAATCCTAGAAACAATTAATGGATATTTTTCCTTAATTTGTATATTTGTTAGTTCTTTCCGTTACTTTAATAATATGTGAAATGTATTAATATTTTAAAGGAAAAAACTGTTTCGGCTTAAGTTAAATTGTCTTTGGCTAAAGCCTGGTTCAGACGCAGCCAGTAGTTTAGTAGAGTAAAGTAATTTAGTCAAGTGTGTTTTCTGTTCACACGGGTCAAGTAAATTAGTAGAGTTTATTTAATCAAGTCGAGTAAAAACAGCGTCTATATATTTTAGCCATTTGTTTAGACGAGTTATTTAGTACAAGTCGAGTGTCGCTGCTAAAATTTGTTTTTGGCGAAAACCTTCTATTGCCATCGCTTCTTGTATTTTTAAGTATGCTGCTTGCCGTTTTTGTTTATTTTTGTACAATTCGTTTCGAACATCCCACAGGCAAGCTAAGTGCTTTAACATTTGCTAAGTGCTTTAACATATTCTTAAACGAATTTTAAAGTAGTATCTTCCCCCCATTTTGCCATATTAATTATGAATAAAATATTCACCACAAACAAAATCTCAGTGATCCTTCAACTATAAACGAAGCGACTACACTACTCTCCCGGTCTATCCAGACGTGTTTAGTTGGCGCGGTATTGGCGTTTCTGTGTAGTGGAAGTTACTACTTGACCAAGAAAATAGAATAGAGTTCTATTTACTAAACTCGACCGTGCTACTCGACTGCCAGTGAGCTCGACTAAAACAAATGTGTTTACATAGGTCAAGTTACTAAATTACTCGACCACTTGACTAAACTGCTGGCTGCGTCTGAACCAGCCTTAAGATCTAAGCAATGTTTAGAAAATACAAATCTATTAAGCTTGGATATTAATATTTTAGAGAGACAAGAAATCAAGTACGTTATCTGGAGGCATGAAGCGAAAACTTTGTGTCGGTGTTGCACTATGCGGTAACTCCAAAGTAGTGATGCTGGACGAACCCACAGCTGGAATGGATCCTTCAGCGAGAAGAGCTTTGTGGGACTTATTACTCAAACAAAAATCAGGTATAGATCATACCAAATAAACTTTTAGTCGTGTGATTAACCTTGACCGGCACAGCTGCAGCGCCAGCGTTGCAGATTTTTAGATGTTTTCTTTTAATCAAAATATTTTACGAAACAAAAATAAATTAATTATAAATATATAAACAGTTATCATTTACATCAACAAAACTCGCCTCGCTAACCGCACTTAAGGGGCATAAAGGGTTGGGTTGGGTATCTAGATTTTCTTAAAAGATTAGTTTCATAATTGAAAATGTGGTGATACACACTTCTTTAAAAATATATACAGGGTGCTACAAATTCGGGGTACGAGCATTGGTATCTCAGAAACCGTAATAGATACAAAGATGGTTAAATTGGGACAAAGTTGCGCTTTGGGATGTTCACCAAGATGCCATCAAAAATGTTTTAAATATTGCAAGGAAGTGTTGCATATCATTTTATTCAGGAGACCGAGTTCTTTCAAAACCTGAAATAAAAAATGCAGGTTCGTATTTAAAAAAATTAAGTTGGCCTCTGTATCTCACAAATTATCAACTAATTTGAGAATCGAAAAATACCGTCAGATAATCCTAATAAAATGGCTATGAGAATGTTCAACTAGTTTTTTTGATTTTCTAAAAACTAACGACAGGAAAAAATAAAGTTGATTTTCAAAAAAATCCGTTTATTCCAAAAAAACTCAGCGATCCTTGATATATTTAAAGCTTTTTTGATGGCATCTTGGTGACCATCCCAAAGCGCAACTTTGCGCCAATTTAACCATCTTTGTGTCTATTACGGTTTCTGAGATACCAATGCTCGTACCCCGAATTTGTAGCACCCTGTATACCGTCGCAGATAACATAATGTTCTATAGATCATACCAAATAAACTTTTAGTAACATGATTAAGCTTGACCGGCACTTGCCCACTTTTATACAGGGTGATGCACCTCATTCGCCTCGGTTGATTATACGAAAACGGAAAGATGTAGAAACAAAATATTTTATGGGTATATGTGGGGAGACAATGTGCACAATTTAAAATTATTTTGAAATATACACAGGGTGTTTCAGAACTAAGACCCATACCAAAGTTATATTTTTTTTTATGGAACACCCGGTATTTTATTTCATTTTTGGATTCTTGGGCCCAAAAAAAAGCATTTATTATAAGGGTTAAATATGTTTAAAATCTTTAGTTTTTGAGATATTTAAAGATATTTAAATTTGCATGCTACAATAGAATAGACTATTAACACCCTGTACATCTTATCTTGGTCCAGAGCCAGTACTGGGAATACCCAAATGTATGGCCCGTAGTGCATTAAAACTCTGGATCAGGGAAAAGCAGAATGTCCACTGGAGAAACAGACAGGGGCACAGGCACAGCAAGGCTTTTATCCAAGGACCTAGCTCCAAAACGTGCAAAAAAGAACTGCTAATGCTTAGCAGGAATAAATTGCGGATTACAACAGGCCTCTTTGACAGGACATGGCTGTCAAGTGTTACCTGATTTCAGCTCAATCTGTATCAAGGAAGTCTTAGCTGCAGACTCTGCGATAAAGATCCTGAAACAGCGGAGCACATAATATGTCACTGCGAGGCTCTGGATCGCAAGCGACACTTTTATTTGGGAAAGCTAGGCTAGAACCGGAGGAACTATGCTCCCATCCTATCAAGGACGTGCATAAGTTAGTGCAGGGCACAGGGATAGGAGAATGGGTGCAGATATAGAAAGGGGACAAACACAATAGACCTCACAGGTCGCAGTGTTTCCGGCAGAGGACGGCCCCTTATTGTGGAAAAAAAAACACCCTGTACATTACTTTTCAGAATTAATTCTTATGCTGAGTTTAAAGGTAGAGAAATAAACTTTACTGAAAAATGGTATTGGTTCCTTAAATTTATACAGGGCTATCAAAAGTTGCTGATCTATTTTAAGGATATATTTTATATAAAAACTTCGTTATTTCAAAGGCAACACCCTATATTTTTTTTAAATAAATCGACGCAGATTTAAATGCTCTTTCAAACTATATTAGGGTTTCATATACCTATCTAGCTCAGATTTTGAATAAAATTGCAATCAAGATGGCTGGTGTCGCCATGGCAATTTTCTAGTGACAGTTAGTAACTATTTTCAAAGTCGATATTAGTTTATGGACATTATTATTTGTAATTTATAACAGTTTACTTAAATTTACCTACAATAGTTTAATAAGTAAGTGTTCATTACTTTATCAAGAAAAATAAACCCGTATCTGCTGGCGGAACGAATAACTATGTTACTAGTGATATTATTTTGTGAGGAAAATTGCTTCTTGGCCTCAAGGGCTTATGCTCAAAGATATCCAAATAGGAATCTTCCAGATAAGCGTTTCTTTGAAAAACTTCTTGTCCTATTTCGCAGAGCTGGTAGTGGGTTTATAAAAAACCTATTAGGCAGGAACCTGTCGTTGGAAGTGAATAAAATGAATTTGCCGTATTGGCTCTTTTATAGAAAATCCATATATCTACAACTAGTCGTAAAATAATTCAAAGAACTACTTATTCGTTTTTCTTGATAGAAAATTAAAGAAGAAATTAAATTAAATTAATTTTAACAGAACGTCAACGATGTCTTGTAGACGTATCTGTTTTAAAAAGTAAAGTGTTCTCGAATAGTTCAGTTTAAATATTTTAAATAGTTTTTTTTCCTGATTCTTTATATTTTTTTGCTTCCGACGACGGAAAGAGAAAACTTTCCGAAACGTTAAGCAATTTTTTTTTCTTTGTTAGGCAAATTTTTATTACTGTAAACACAACTTCTGACAAGCAGCGTCCGTTTAGGTTTAACGCAGAAGTGTTTACAAAAAATAACTATTTTATTTTGTAGATTTTGCTTTGCAGTGCAGTGGCGAAAAAAACCCATAAGGATTTTTTTGGATAGATGAATCCGCCACATAGGTATAGACATTTTTTAATAGGTTCGTTCCAACCGGACCGAGAACCGATCCTGGGACGGTAATTTGTAGTCGCCCACTTTATTGTTTGAAAAGTTTGATCGTTTGTCAAGATTAACAAATGAATTGACTGATAGGAAATTACCGTTCTAGGACGGTTCTCTCGTCCAGTTGGAAACAAACATAATAAATACATATTTAATAAATATTATTTATTAAACTATTGTAGGTAAATTAAATAAAAGTAAACTGGTATAAATTTAAATAAGTCCATAAACTAATTTCAATTTTGTAAATAGCTACTCACTGTCACTAGAAACTTGCCATGACAACACTAGCCATCTTGATTACAATTTTATTGAAAAATCGCTTTTTATTCAAAATCTGGAGCCAAATAGGTATAGAAAAGCCTAATATAGTTTGAAAGAGCATTTAAATCTGCTTCGACTTATTAAAATACATAGTGTTGCATTTGAAATAACAGAGTTTTTACGTAAAAATAAATATTTAAAATGAACCAGCAATTTTGATACCCCTGTATACATTTAAGGGAGGAATAACATTTTCTGTAATTATTTACTTTAAACTCAGCACAAGAATTAATTCTGAAAAGTAATGTACAGGGTGTTAATAATCTATTCTATTGTGGCATGAAAATTTAAATATCTCAAAAACCAAAGATTTTAAAAAACATATTTAAGCCTTATAATAAATAATACCTTTTTTGGGCCCAAAATCCAAAAATGAAATAAAATACTGGGTGTTCCATAAGAAAAAATATAACTTTGGTATGGATCTTAGTTCTGAAACACACTGTACATTCAAAATAATTTTAAATTGTCCACATTACCTCCCTACATATGCCCATAAAATATTTTGTTTCTACATCTTTCCGTTTCGTATAATCAACCGAGGCGAATGAGGGTGCGCCACCCTGTATATTTTCTCTTTAATCAAAATATTTTAGAGGAAACAAAAATAAATTAATTATAAATATATAAGCAGTTATTATTTACAAAACTCACCTTTTTTAACAGCATTTAAGGGACATAAAGGGCCATTACTACAGCTTTTCCATTCAAAATATTCTAATAAGGTTGCGATGAGGGTTTATGCAACGGCTGTTAAGCTGCTTCGGTATCTTGTAAACTTAATATTAAGAGTGTAGAACCTATTAAAATATTCTACGTTTTCACACTGGTTAGAGGCCAGGATAAGATCCGGTTATCTCAAGAATAACAGTCGATTTATGTTTAAAGTGTTCAGAGAAAAAAATGACCCCCTAATGAAAATTATTACCAATAAAATTACCATTCGAAAGGCGACGGTGGCGCCGTTTTTCTCGATCGCATGGTACCTACCTATATTTTAATTTAATTATTTTTTTGTATTTTCTAAGCAGGACCTTATTACTAACCACGCATTTTATGGATGAGGCTGACCTACTAGGTGACCGTATAGCTATCATGGCCGGTGGGGAACTGCAGTGTTGTGGTACCAGTTTCTTCTTGAAAAGAAATACGGAGCTGGATACCATCTTATAAATGGACAAGTCGATTCCAGTGCGACCCCAATAATGTAACTCAACTTTTAAGAAGACACATTCCTGGAATTTCCGTAAGTATGTTTTATACATATATCAAGTAAATGTTTTTATTAATATATTTTAAGAGGAATTTTCAATTAAATGTAAAGAACAAAGAAATTTCAAAGGAGGAATTACTGTTTATAAACAACAATATACTATATGATCGAAATACACGCAGAGCTGCAAGCTCACAGAAAACTTAAGCTTTTTTTATTTAAATCATTTTAATGACTTAGGGCACTTTGTTTTAAGTTGTTTTTTTAAAGCTGACTTAAGACTTAAAATTTAAGTCTTTTTCAAAATGACTTGTGATTTAAATCTTTATTCCGAAATAGAAAAGAATTTAATTCCTTTTAGAAAAGACTTAAACTAATCAAAATTTAACAAACACTTAGAAGAAAATTCTTGGGGATAGCGGTCTGAAGGCAAAAATTAAACAATTTTTACATACACCAAGCTTTCGGAAATTTTATTTCCTTTTTTTTACTTGATTATTTTCTATTCCCAAGAATTTTCTTCTAAGTTTTTGTTATAATTGATCGGCCAAGACTTCCTCTTTGTATAAAAAAATTAAGTCTGTTTATAAAAGATTTAAGTCATTTCCAAAAATTCTTTGGAAATGACTTAATAACTTTTGGAAATGAAAAAATATTATTCAAAATTATGATAAATTTTTAACAGCAGCATTTCTGTTTAAACTGTTAGGCCGCAGCCAAGCAGCAGAATGAAAAAACAAAGCTCAATACCACTAGTAAATAAAATGTTAGTTTTTCGAAACCGGTTTTGATTATTTGTCGTGTTACGCGTGCGTAGTGAGTCTGTTGTCTTTCAAGTGAATCCCCGACTCCGTTATGTAGCCCGAAAGACAAACGAAAGAAATTTTTCTCGAATATATTTCAGGGTACCTTAAAATCCTCCAGCCCTTAGCTTATACCATCGATATATTACATAGTGATCAAAACACATCACCAATTTTTATTAGACATATACAGAGTGGCGCCTCTCATACGCCGCGGAGGCTCCAAGGAGAACGACAGTTTGTATTGAAATGAAATTTTGTGAGCATATGTAGGTTAATTGAGAGCACTTTTTAAAAATATAGAGAGTTCTACAGGGTGTCCCCAAAAAAAGTTACACATCAAAGTTGTGTTTTTTTTAATGGAACACCCTATATATTAATTGATTTTCGGATTCTAGGAAAAAAATAAAGGTGAGTTTTATTAAAGAAGCATATACCTAAAATCTAAGGATTTTGACATATTTCACATTTTGTGAAAATGAAGAGTAAATTTTAACTTTCGATAACAGCTACCTAAATTTTAGTTAACCTTGTATAGCCCGATATTTAGCTACAGTAACTATTGTATGTTAAACCAAATTGAAATTTGACCCGAAAAGTTATACAGGGTGAGACAAAATTAATATGGAACATTAGTCACTTTTATAAGCAAGTTACTCCTTTATTTTAAATGGAACACCCAGTATATTTTTCGGATGTTCAATGGGGAATTTATATATCTTCAAAATATTATTAAGGTTGCCTACCCCTCAGACAAAAATTTTCCTAGATATTTTAATTTTTATGATTTTGCGTCAGCAGATCTTTATTATTTGAAAAGAACTAGATGGCTGTGTGATATACCTTTTGTTAATTTAACAAAAATTAAAGATTGTAGAGTAAAATATTCAACGGTAATAAAAAGATACACGTTTAAAACATATTTTAATTATTATAGAACTAAACCTAGATAATATAAACCTATAATTATGTGACAAAAATTAGCTAGATGAAATCGAATGCTCAAAATGATTCCTTTCCTGTTAACTGCATAAAATGATTGTCTTTTCAAAAGGGTATTTTCATTTTAAAAGACATATGTGGAGTTCTACCTCGAAAAGCAACTACAATCATTTCTCTGATGTTGTAGACAATAGTTGGTAGAGTTTTGTAAACACTGTCTTTAACATATCCCCATAAAAAAAACAGACCAGATAAAATCAAGAGCATTTAAGTATTCTATAATTGGTGAATGCACACTGTATTCACCAATTAATAGAATCATATCCATTCTTTCTGATGTAGGATAAGTTTGCATTTTCGGCAAATTTCTAAGAAATTTTTTTGTAGCTGACACAAAATGATAACTAGTTGTTAAAGTTGGACTAATTAAACAGCTATGTCGAAGTAACGTCAGACATATCGCAGCCACCTAGATTTTATCAAATAATAAAGATCTACTCAGATCAAATCATGTAAATGAAAATATCTAGGAAAATCATTGTTTGAGGGGTAGGCAACCTTAATAGTATTTTGAAGAAACATAAATTCTCCATTGAATATCGGAATAATATACTGGGTGTTCCATTTAAAATAAAAGAGTAACATGATTTTAAAGGTGACCAATGTTCAATATTAATTTTGTCTCACCCTGTAAAAAATTTTAAAAAAAAATTTTGAATTTAGTTTAAAATTACAATGGATTAATTTAACTACATATTAGGCTATACCGGTTAAATTCCAATTTAGGTAGCTTTTATTGTAATTTAAAAGAATTTTCCTTTATTTCTAGTTTCTAGAAATGTTAAAATATGTCAAAAGGCAAATTTTAGTCATATACTTCTCTTATAAAACTCACCTTTATTTTTTCCAAATTCCGAAAATCAATTAATAGAGATTGTTCCTTTACAAAAACCTGAATTTTTGATATGTAACTTTTTGGGGACACCCTGTAGGGCCTCCTATATTTTTAAAAGTGCTCTCAATTAACCTACTGTATGCTTACAAAATTTAATTTCAAGCCTAGACTGTCGTTCTCTTGGAGTCCACTTGTGGCGTATATGAGGCGCCACCCTGTACGGTCTTTTATTTAACTTCTGAACTTATAGGCGTCAATCGGTAATTTGTAAATCACTCTCCTGTTGTCAGTCCATAATCAATCTTTTATCATCCATTGATGAAATACAGGCAATAATAACAACAGGCAATACTATTTTTTGTGCGAAATACATGAAATGAAATTCAAAATATTTTTTCTTTTTTTTTTTTTTTTTTTTTTTTTTTTTATTTTTATACGTTTTTTATATAAGAATTATAAATGGTTATTTATTAATATAAATTATTTTTTTTTTTTTTTTTTTTTTTTTTTTTTAAATATGTTTTTAAAAAGTAAAATTTTAGTGTTAAAAGTAAATCATGTGACTTACTTTTAGCACAAGTCTTTGAAATGATTAAGGAAGGACATAATGCTATCCATGTATTCATGCATGGTGGGCGGAAAAGCCACCATAAAGCTCTCTAGGGTGGGGATCCTTGACAGTTCCTGTTTGACTGATTTATTTGACGTACATTTGAATTTGGTTGAAATTTTGTGGATTTGTCCAGTCTTTACGGAGCTTACCCTTATTTTATGTTATTTATTATTTATTCTACTACTGATGGTTGTATAAAAGGTGGTAAATCTAGATGGAAATTGTGGCAAGAGCTTAAATTAACAGTGACACTATCCGCGATTTATCGAAAAGACTAAAATAGTTGGTTGTGTAGCGTGCGGTAGATCTCAGCAAAGAATTAGGTGGAAATAATTAGGACAACTTTTCGCTAGTAAGTGACTTATATAATATACATGCGATGTAGTAAACCGATCATTTATGAAATTCACTTAAATTTACAACTAAATTATATAATATTTTCTTACATTTTTAGCTTTATTTATTACTTGTCAAGATTAGATGTCAAAGAGATTTAGATACGTTAATTGGACTTACCTGCTTCAGTAGCGTATCGGATGTTTGTGTTAATAAGTACTTATTATAACTTATCTATTTTATTAGAATTATAGCATATTTTTATAAACAGATTTTAAACCGCTTCACAACATTTATTCCTGGCAATAGGTAAACAGAATTATTAAGTCTACCCACGTCTACCTACATCCCTTAGTTTACATTTTTAAAATAAATTTAGAACGGCTTACTGATATCAGATTTAAAAGTGTATATTTGAGACCCATCCCGCAGTTAATACCTAAGATTTTTGATATGCTGCTATGGTCTTCTTATTCAAGGCATAGTCACTAAAGAAATGAAATAACTTTTACCATCATTGACATAATGTCACATTTTAGGCACTGACAACATGCATTAACAATTCATTTTTACTGACGTTTGTAGAAAAATGTTTAAAACAAAAAATGAGTATTTGTATTGGTTTGCATTACTATTCATATAAAATCCAATTACATTGACTGTTTCTTTAGAAATGGACATACCAGCAAAGATAGCGTTTTTACCCAATATTTGCGGCCCTAATTCACATTTTAAAATAAAAACACGCCCAAGTAGCATTTGGGCGTTATCTAACGTCGGGTATATGTCGCGTTCAATAAACCCGACGTCAGGTACTAACATCGGTTCGACCGCCTGACGGCCCTTATTTGCACCTAAATGGGGAATACAGATTCAGGTCGCCTCTCTCGACGTCGGTATCTGACCTAATAATAGAGAATGTAATTCTACCAATTACCAACGTCATATTACGTTGGATTTTATTTACTTAAAATTCGTCGCTAAGCACTTAGTTACGTTTGGTTCCATATTCGCTACCAAGAATACATCAAAAACCTAACCAAACTTCCTAATTACAAATGGATTCCTAATCACTCCTCGAATATAACCTATAAGTACCTATTTAATTTCATATTATAATAATTCTGAATCATTTAATCCAGACATCAGTTTGTCAACGGAAGTGTTTCTTATATATCAGTTAAAATACTCGGAAACAACGAGCGCCTTCAAAATAAGGTAGATTTATGAAATAAAATATCTATAAAAAAGTAGCACTTACAAAATATTTTTAATTTTCCCAAGCTGGTTTAACCATAAAACTGTACTGTGGTTCTTTCCAAACTCAACCTTATCAGTAACATTACTAGAAATCAGAAATGTAGATATAAATTTTAAAAACAAAAACGATTTTAAAATGGCTGACAATCGGATACTTGTTAAGAATGGCGGTTTTCTGTGTCCGACTTAATATGAACTACCAATAAACCAATTTCGACCGGGTCTCCAACATCAGTCGTCTCACACGACCGGAGTCATCAAACCGGACGACCAGCAATCATATTACTTGACTGTATATATAATTCCAGCGTACGCCACGTAACCTCTTTGCGTTTTGCGTGTCGGTGGTTGTTGATTTGTGCAACTATATTTTAGTTTTTGTTTTTCTCGTTAAAAATGGGCACCTTTTAAACAGCAACCTCACATGTCGGAGGAGGATGGGGTCTGCTGGTATCCTAAGCTAAAAGTAAATTAAGATGCACTAGTGTAGAAATGCAACATCTCTTCCGGATAAACTTGTTTACTGGTGGAGGCAAGCCATTACTACTACTATTATTATTTTGCAAGAAGCCTCGATCTCTTTCTGTAAAATGTTGATGAATGTCTAAATGCCATTTTAGTGTTTTTAGGCATAATAGAAATTTAAGTTTGACTGGGAAACTTTTTATTGGGTTATGTTCATGATGTTCATTGGGTCGCAAATGCTAAATAATGGGTTGTATTTACTGACATAAATAGAAGTGCAATAGAATTAGGTTATAAATATAGACATAAAATACAACAAAATATAGTGGACTGGTTTAGGGATTATAAGTGGGACGTATCCTATTCGGATAACGGGTAGACGTCGGACTAGTTCAAGTATATGTACGTCGTACAAGCCAACGTAGGAACGACGTTGGGAAATCAATAAAATGGGTACGTTATTTATTTTGTACGTCGACAGATCATTGGATTTACCGACTCGGATCCAACGACGTCGTTTTTAATAGGAAAGCGACGTCACCGGTCGTCTTACCAGCACCCGACCTAAAATTGCACAAAGTCTGACGTCACTTCAGGTCAGATTTAGTTCGAAGTCAGATAGATACTACTTGGAGCTGGTGGTGACATGTATCCTTAATGGAATGCATTATAAATTACTACAAAATGGTTAAATTTTATAAAAACATTTTTAGACACAACATATTTTATTATTTGTAGTGGTTCTGAAAATTAACCGTTTTATTTTATGTGGTTTTAGTCTTATGTGTATCTATAATAAGTGTAATATGATTACTTAATTGGAGTAACCTAATTGGTAATACAAAAATTAATAATGGCATTTATAAAAGGTACTTAAATTGAATGCTTGTTGCCCTGAGTTGACGGTAATTATATTGATTTAAATCATTCTACTAATTTAACTTGCGAATCATCACGATTTAGAAGTCAAAAATATAGACTAAGTTATGAAAACGACTTAAATAACGTTATATTGATTTAAGTCTTTACAATAATGACTAGTCAAAGACTTAAACTTAAGTCATTTAAACTTTATGTTGAATTTGACTTAAGACTTAAATAATTTTGATTTTAGAAATGACTTAAGACGTCTTAAGTCTTTTTAAAACTCACTTGCTACAGCTTCGAATACAAGCTAAATTCTCTGAAACCTAAAAAATGTTTTTAATATTTTAGATTCACACTAACATCGGGTCGGAACTTACATATCTTCTAGTAGAAAGCCAGTCTTACATTTTCGAGAAAATGCTGAAAGACTTAGAAGATCACAGTAGGCAGCTCGGTATCAATAGTTATGGGATTTCATTAACAACCTTAGAAGAAGTTTTCCTTGAGCGGTAAATTTACTTAAATAACAACTGGGTTCATAAACGGCACTAATAATTATAACATCTATTTAGGTAGAGACTGATCATGGGCAAGAAGAACTATATAACTCAAGCGAAAAAGAATTAAATGGAAGAAATTCATTTGGAGAATCCTCAGACAAAAGGTTAGCCTAAGATATTTTGTATTCAAATAAAAAAAAAAAAAAAAAAAAAAAATACAATTTTGGTATTAACTTTTAACCGTTTGCTAAGGTTCTTGACAGTAATAGTGACATATGAACTTGAATTATTGGATAATCCTCTATATTTGTACAATATATAGCCAATAAAAATCATATAATGGAAAATAGAATTTCTTGCTGTTTTTGGGTATATAATAAAGGTATAAGGGTTTCTTGCCTTGAACTGCTAATATAGAAATTAATTCCATGCACTGTGTTTGATATAATGTGGATCAACCTACTCTCACTACCGGTTTCGGAGCCCTCCTCCATCATCAGGTGAGCTTAGGTCGTTTCCACAATATGTCGACAGCGCAGAGTATATAAATACGACTTTTCGTAAAGTAGCGGTAAGATAATGGTTCAAGGCAAAGAAGCTCTTACATATAATTTTATTATATACCTAAAAGTAAAATTTATTTTCCATTATATAATTTGGGCTAGCCGGAAAAAGCCTTTATTTACTATCGATAGGTGTTCCCCTAGGAGATGCAAGACCTTGTCGTTGGTGGGAAGCTCCTGGTCAGGTGCTGGGGGAATCCCCTCTAGCGCTTGGCTTGGTCTAACAAGCATATCATTCATCGTCTTGTCCCTGACTGTAGGGTGTAGGGGAATTGCACCAGACATATAACGATACCGGGGGGCTACGGACAGCCTCAAACTTGTGGCACCGGAGGGCACCCCATTGTATTCACCCCTTACTTCTACATTATCCCTTACTTCTACATGTAGAAGTGGACCGACTAATCCTAGCGACTTGTAGAAACACTATGAGATCTGATAATAATAGTAATAAAAACTTCACCGAGGTGAATCTGTGGGGAAACCCTAGCGACACTGGGAACAGTTAACAATGAAAGTTTCAAAATATTAAACCCAAAGAGAGAGGGAGCTACAGGAGAGGTGGCTGACCTTGCGTGAGACCATCCTCCGCAAGTGGCATGCAAGCTACCACCTCCTCCCAGGATCGGGCTATGCTACCTCTAAACCCAACAGGCGACAGAAGCTACCGTTTCGTCTAATACCCGGCCTGGGTCGTAGCTCCTCGACTGTGACGGACACGGGTCTCCGTAGGGAGTCCTGGGACTGTATGATGAGTTATAACTCAGAAGGGGACACAATAGATCTCCTAAGGTCGCGAAGTTAGCCCCTCACTTTCCGTTCCAAATCGATGGTTATTGCCTCAATTGGTACGAAAGTGCTACCATTGCACGTAGACCGCTATCTCGCGATGCGGAACTTAATATCTTACCGCTACTTTACAAGTCGTATTTATATACTCTGCGCTATTGCTTGACATTTTGTGGAAACGACCCAAGCTCACCTGATGATGGGGTAGAGCCCCGAAACCGGTAGTGAGTGCAGGTTGATCCGCATTATGACAGACACAGCGTGGAATTAATCTCTATATTAGCAGTTCAAGGAAAGAAACTCTTATATAATTTTATAATAAAAATCTATAATACAAGAGTTGTAATATAGTTTCTAGTTCTACAAAGTCTAAATAAAGTTCTAAATAAAATCTTTGATCTATAGTCACAAGTTCTAAATGAAGTTACAGATATTTTTAGAAGCTATCTATATTTTTTCTAAAAGATTAGTTTCATAATTTTTTTTTTTTTTTTTTTTTTTTTTTTTTAAAATAAATATACAAATCACAGATAACATAATGTTCTATAGATCCTTTTCAAATAAACTTTTTAATGACGTGATTAAACGACCGGCACAGTGAGTACCCACTTTTACATATTTTATTTTAATCAAATATTTTAGGAAACAAAAATAAATTAATTATAAATATATAAACAATTTTTTTTTTTTTTATTTATATCATCAAAACTCACCTCCCTTAACAGCACTTAAAAGGGGCATATTAAGGTTCATTACTATCTTCAACACCACGTTCAAAATATTCTAATAAGTTGCGATGAGTTTTTACGGCTATTAAGTTATCTTGTACACTTCGCACTAAAGAGGTTCTAAAATGAACAATGTTTGACTGCAAGGTTTACTAGTAAAAATATTTAAAACTTAAAATTATCCTGTACAATTCATTTAAACCAAAGCCCGTAATACAAAACTAAAGTGTCAAGAGCCAATGACAGTGTCAGAATACAAATAGGCTCGTCATGGCGAGATTTGTTTTTTTTTACAGCAGAACTACCACCTTGATCCCCAGCGGAAAATTTAAATTCTAGTTAGTCAGCACTGCGCCGAAAATCTCCATGTTTGGCAACAATAAATTTAAAAAAAAAAAAAAAAAAATACATTAATTAAAAGTTTAGTTGGTATAGCTTAGTTTGTTTACATATAACCAAACTTTATTTAATTAAAAGAGAGAAACAGAATTTTATTATATTATTGGCATTTGGTATTAAAAATATCGTTTAGCAATGTAGGCTTGTCGACGTTTAACAGTGTGATACAAATCCTGAGTTAACTGTGAAAGAATCACTTCTGCAGTAATAATAATAACATAAACTCGAAAATTATCAAAAGGTTAAAATTCACACTCATAAGTTATTTACACAGCCAATAAAAAAATCGTCACAGGTTTACTACTCTACCCTATATTAGCTCTGATACATTTTGATTTGATAATTTTTTAAATGTTTCTTTCTTTCAGTTGATATTGATCTAGCTCCGAAACCAATCACATCCTTCGACTTCTTCCTCAATCAATTCATGGCGATGACAATGAAGAAAATCTTGTCGACCTACAGATCCTGGATTCTCCTGGCCATCCAGATTTTTATGCCGGTCATTTTTCTGATAATCGCCATAGTTGTCGTGCGTCAGCAATCAAACTTTGGCGACCTCCCTGCGATGCCCCTTACCTTGGATAGATTCGACAATCCTACTGTTCTAATGGAGTATAGCGGAAACGATGAATACGTCCAGCAATATGAGAATGCCGTAGGGTCTGTGTACGAGAAAGTGGACAACATTACCTCGACCATGCTCGATTTAGTAAGTTTTATGGGTTTACGAATGTATAAAATTATTTTTTTCAAACGTCACAAAAGTATTATTTTTTGAGACAATATAAAAAAATCCATTTTCCATATACTTAACTATTAAAAATTGCATTATATCTATCAAAATAGTAGATAAAATGACACTTTATAAGGGGTAGATTAAATGATACTTTAACAGCCAGGATAGGTTAAAAACTTTATTTCTTCTCGCGTTTTTTAATTGCTTCCATTTTGAAAATTTTTGTATTCCTTTTCATATATGTTATTTAATTATTTAAATGGAAATTGGTTTTGGATATATGAATTGTTTGTCGCCTCCAGACTGAATATCTATTGGTAATTTACTTATATCGTTTTGAGCCATTTCTGGCTCCAATTCAATCAGTAATAAACGCGTTTTGTGAAGTAAGTGCAAATATTTTAAAGCGTGCTGTTATAGTTGTTATTAACGTAATAAGGTCGATAAACAACAAATAACAGCCGGGCTGAAGTTTGTGATCCGAGGCGATAGCCGGGGATCATAAGCAGCCAAGGCCGTTATTTGTTATCGGCCGTTTTGCGTTCTAGATTTTTCGTTCATACTGCAGATTTTTTAGAGCAATAAACACTACTATTTAATAACAAATTTTTATTGAACAATAACACAAATAAGGATAAAAAATATATAATGTCTTATACTAAAATTCATTTTCATGATAATGGGCATGGAAATTAAAAGTGCGCTTGTTGTTCTTAGAAATCTGTAAATCCTTCCAAGGAGTTTACAGATTTTTATAAGAAAGAATGATGCTACTGAAGAATGGCAAATATTTGTATCCACTAAAGACAGCGCATTATTTTTGGAGCTATCGCCCGAAAAGGATTGATTTGTTATTTTCATTTCTTTTGGAAACTGATTTTCTATGTGAGTTCTGCCACACTGTGTTGAAGACTCCCATCCCCCTAGCTCCTTTAGCGATAGTAAATCACTACCATTTTCGGCGAGCATGGTTGCTGATGATCTACGAAATTAATGCCCTGTATAACGTTCTGGATTCTCCAAGTTCAAAAATTTTGCAATTTTCTGCGGTACGCTCCCGATGGTATGTATACCGACGATTTGCTTAACACACTTGCCTTTCTTGTAACCAATGAAAATTTTGGATTGTCCAAAGAGTTACGAGGGACCTGAGTTGATGTATTTTAGCCTTGTATAAAACCATGGGCATCAAACCCAGGAAGGCCGTTTTGGAGATAAGAAATTTCTTCTTATTTTGGTATTTCTTAATGAGACAAGAATATTTTCTCCGAATCTTCGAAATCATCAACTGTGGGTGACCAAAGCTCGCTGCGCCTACAAGCTCCAAGAATACCAAGAACCAATACAATTTTTTCGAGTAACCAGGTGTAACCATCGGCATCCAGTAGAAATTTATTTATGTGTTCTCAAATAAGGAGACTTTGGCTTTTTGGTGAATAACCTTCGTTTTGCGCCTCAGAGCGACAGTTTACCAAATCTATGGACAAATATAATTTAGATGGGTATGATTGATATCAGAGAATATAATGGCTTTTACCTTGATATGTCGATGTTTTCATATACTCTCAACGCAATCTTCAGCATGGATATCTTTGTCCACAGTGATGTGGGAGAATACATTTCAGACATTCTTTTAGCATAAGCTAGCAATACCGCTTCATTTACGCTGTTTATACTTCTATCCTACCGCCACTTCAAAAAATTGCCATATTCCTGCTGATATCTCTCTAGTTTGAATGAAATTTTGAGTAGCCACCAGCCACTTCCTCCTGTATTTCCAACGGAATTTCTCACGACATCTCGCTATGGTCTATTTTACCAATTTTTGAAAAGTCCAACTGACAATAAATAGTCATTTTTGCAGGTGACAGACGTTAAGATTACCTTAGAAACTTAACGTCCGGCGGACGTTATCATAGCGCGATCAAGCGGACGTTGTATACATCTTTCCATTCTGAGGATTTTTGCTTATGTTATAATAGTATAACAATATGAATATGAAGAAAACATGTTTTTCTCTTTATCATTTTAAAATAAATTGAAAATAACAAAGCTTTTTAACTTTAGCGAAGATAAATAAAAATTAACATTTGAGAACCTGGAAGCGATAGCCAGCTGTTCTGAAACAGCTAGACATACTATGTTGCCAGATGAAGCCCCAAGAATTGTAATACAAAACAAATCTGAAACTCACAATAGAGGTTTTACAGACAGCATCGTAAAAAGAAAAACTTTTTAATATAAAAAAAAAAAAAAAAAAACAATTAAAAAAACCACCCTGGCTGCAAAAGAATAATTCGGAATTTTGTGATGAAACGATGTTTTATCTTAAATACCATCCAATGAAATACATTTGATTCCGCTTCAATTCATTTCTGAATCATGGTAAAATAAATACTAGAAATACACAGTCTGCATTTAACAATTACAGTTTGTTGAAACTTTCTTCCTTTCCAGAATTATGTAGACGCGACATAGTTAAAATTATACTCAATTTTCAAATAAAAAAAAATTTTGGAATTTTCTTAAAATGTAAAATTATAGCCATAAAAGCTGTACAGAACCACGGATATGCCAGGAGATGGCAGCTTCACAAGGATGAATGGTCGTCAAACAGTGGCTTTTTAAAGGGTTTTAATTTAGAAGAACAGAAAATACCAATTCAGCAGGCTACCGGGGTATTTCAAGGTTGAACTCCTTTTCACCATTGAAACCACTTTTGGCTGCAAGACACTGATATGATGCCTTATATACAGAAACCAGAGAGAAAATTCACTTGATACAAAACTGTGATATTTTTACGCCGTTCATTTGTTGTTGGGAACTTGTTTTCAATTCACTGGCTAAGACGGCAAAGACACCGTTCATTTCGGAAAATTCACCCACGATTTAATGGGAGCAGGCTTCGAAGCAATTGACAGCAGCAATAGTCTGAGTCAAATATTTGACGTTAATTTCACTGCCTATTTTAACAACGACCCATACCACACTCCCGGAGTTACGCTAGGACTAGCACTAGACACCATGTTTAAGAAAGCACTGAACAGCAATAGTGGTATTCGGTTTTTCAACCACCCTATGCCTTACAATGCACAGTCAAGAGTAAGTATAACCTTTTTCTCTAATAAAATAAAATATTCAACAAATTCTATTTATTTATTAATTATGGTAATACTAATTTTACTGTTTATTACAGCAATACGCTTTTTGAGCCGCACCTCAGATATGCCCTTCTATTCTAGGGTACGTGTTGTGCGACTTAATTTGATACATTTCAAGCTCAGAGAGGGAGCTGTTCAATGTCACACTGGGACTATAGAGCGGAACTCATTGCCAAGGACTTTTTAAAAAAAATTAAAATATTAACTCTTCCTTCCCTTATTTATATTTGAATCCGTTTGCGTAATACGTAAGCACGTATCAGCTTCTCAAAATTAAGCCATTTCACACTTATCCACTCAAAAAAGCGGTGCAAGATCTTTATCCTACCCCACGCTCAGAGCTAGTTAAGGGTTCAATATTATACAACTCAAAAAAAAATCACCTGCCATTTGAAATCAAATCAACAACATCATTTTCTTCCCATTTTCGCAAAACATTGAGAATCTATTTACTAGACAGGGCTTTCTACGCCGTAAATATTTTGATAATCAAGATTTGATCTTGTAAACACTGGTCTAATGTTTGCTATTACTATATTTACCAATGACATCGAAATAAATTTATCTAGGGGTCGGTGATATTTACTATATAAACTAACTAAATATTTTTGAATATTATTTTTATTTTTATTCTTTGACGGCTAGCAATGAGCATTTATAAATGTTTATTTTAAACAACAAGACTGACAATGTTATTTGTATATATACCGTATGATCAAAAAAAAAAAAAAAAAAAACAGCGTCAACGATGGCTATGAAGTTAAGATCGCTGTCGTTACATATGTAAAATTATACATATAGAGAATGTCATCGATCGTCATTTTCAAACAAGCTGGACGCCGTTTTTTTTTATTTATTTATATCCTTATTATATATATATATATATATATATATATATATATATATATATATATATATATATATATATATATATATATATATATATATATAGTATATATATATATATATATATATACTCTCTCTATATATATATATATATGCCCTTCTCCCATTCTGTTTACATATCCCTTACCAGATTAATTATTTTTTTGGTTTCTTCTCACATTGATGGTTATCTCTTTCTTCGTTATTCTTCTTATTTCTTCATTTCGCACTTTTCCAATTTTGATTTTCTTGCCGATCTTCTGAGAGTCCTTTCAGTTTACTAAAAGCTCCCTTCCATAGACTTGCTCATCTGCCATGCTTCAGCGCCATAAGTAAGTGTGCTCTTAATTATAGTGTTATATATGCGGGTTTTTGTTGTGGTATTTATATTTTTTTTGCCAAAGAATAGAATTTGGTGCCCCTGTAATGTTTCTGGCTTTGTTGATTCTATTATTGTTCGTTATTGTCGCTTTTCCATTATTATGTATGTTGGTACCTAGATATGTGAATTCTGTCATTGGTTTTTATTTTGTTTCCGTTTTCCATTTTTAGGTCTTGTCCTTTGTTGCACACGCATAGATATTCTGTCTTTTTAAATTTATTTGCGACCCCATCCCTCCATACTCCTCGATTTTAATTTTTCCTAAGCAATGTACTCAGTAATACTTTCTACATCTCAGACCCGGTATTACTTGATCGTCGGCGTAGTGAATGGTATATATTGTTTTATTTTCGAGTGGCATGCGCATTCCACTACATTTTTCCTCTCCATTGTTCCAATGCTGCATCTGAGTAAATATTGAATAAAATTGGAGATAAACCACATCCTTGTCGGAGGCCCTTACTTATATTAAATGATGTTGTGAGTTCGGCTCCAATTTTAACTCGTGCTAGTGGGTTCTTGTAGATTTCCTTTATTACTTTATTAGGAATTGTATTTATTGGTGACCGGTCGAGTACATGAAAAAGTTGTTTTATTGGGATAGAATCATACGCTTTGGTTAGGTCTACAAAAATCATGTGTATCTCTCCACCTAGAAAACACTTTCTCACTTAGTTGTGTTATGCAGAAAATATTATCTACGCTTGAGCGACTGAAATACAAGAGCCCGACTGCTCTACAGCTAGGTAAAATTATAGTCATTTGTTATTAATGTACTAAATTATTTTTCCATGGAGTCTATACAATGAACAGTTAACAGAAATACCTCTGTAATTCTCACATATGTTAATTGCGCCTTTTTGGAGTTATCCATCCTTCGTTCCATTCCTGTGGTATTTGTTGACCATTGATACAATTTTCAAAGAGTGTTTTAATAATATTGTGAAGTTTTGGTGTGCAGCATTTTATTAATTCGTTGGGGATTCCTCCTGGGCCGGCTGATCTTTTATTTTTAAGTTGGGTAATTGCCGTTTTTAATTGATCTAATTCGATGTTAATTTTTTCACCTCCTAAATTAAATTGTAGTTCTTCTGGTTGTAATTTATATTCATTTCTGTGTTCATTTAACATTTTTTCGAAATATTCCTTCCAGCTATCTTCTAAGTTTTAGCTTGGTCTTCTTATTATTTCGAATGGAATTTATGAATTTCCACGATTCTGATGTTCTTCTTCCTATGTAGCTTTCTAACTCTTGGCGTCGTTTTTCCCAGTAAGTTTATTCTTCTCTTTAAAATTTATCTTCTTAGAATTTTGCTCTTTGGTGTTTATAAGCTAAGTAATCCGCATCTTGTTTAGTTTAGCCATTTAAATTACAATTTTTGTTTTGGTTTTTTTTTTTTTTTTTTTTTTTTTTTTTTTTTTATTTTTATTTGTTGTTGTTTATTGCTGTTTGTTCTCCCAATGCCTCCATAGCGGCTGCATTTATTGCCGATTTAATGTGTTCATATATCATTTCTGTCGTTTCATTTTCAAAATCATCCTAAGTTTTGATCTAGTCTTTGTTGATATAATTTCTTAGTACTTTCATCGTATAGACTGTTCAGATTATATTTAATTGTATTGGTCGAGCTAGTTTTTGTTGCTTCATTTATATTTTCTCTCTGTCTCCTATATAGCATTCTTATCTCCCCTTTTACTAAATAATGATCCGCTACCTGGGACCTCTACCATCCTAACATCATTAATTTTAGAGATTCAGTTTTGTTTCACTGCTATGGGGTAGTCAATGAATTGATTTTTAGGTGTCTTGTTTCTTGTTTTAAATGAAACTTGTGAATGTCCCTATTGCAAAGTATCCGATTCATGATCTTTTAATTCTGATATTGTTTCCTTAGATTAATTAATTAATTAGTAGTTTATATAATGTTTATTATTTTATTAGTTATTTGTATAATGTTTTGTATTCTCTTTTTGTTTGTTTGTTTGTTTACTTTACCTTTGTCTACCTAGGTAAAATTTTTGACAATAAAGACATTATTTATTTATATTTTTCAGATGGAGTCAAATAACATTAGAAACAATATGGGACAATTAGCTTTTCAACATGGCTTTAGTATGGCCTTCCTTCGTTCTATATATTATTTATCGTTCGAGAACGAGTCTGCAATTCGAAACATCTACAGTTTGTCTCTGGAGTAAAGGGATACGTTTTTTGGCTGAGCACTCTTTTATGGGATTTCGTCACATTCCTGATCACTGCCCTGGCTTTGGTCATCACGTTGCTGTGTTTCCAAGAGGACGGATTTAAAACTGCCAGTGATATAGGTTAGATTTTTTGACCACAAATTTATCAAAATAAACTGAAAGAAGTAGACACTAAATAGAATTATGACAAAACAAATTTAAAAGCATACGTTAAACATTTACAAATTATGTAGACCGCGAATTATTTTTTATAAAACTGGTCAAAATGTACCCATATTAGGGTTGGTAAGGTTTAAGTATGGGTCGATATTTCCGTATGTAAGAAGAGCACAATGCATTGAAAATGTACTGAACAAAGAGAGAAGAGTAAAAACTTTGCCAAGCGTATGAAATAAACCGAGAAGCTATACACATTGCTTGAGACGTGGAACGGGATATGACAACACGGTCAGGCCGCATAAAGAGAAAATTAAAATTTAAATCCAGTATCTACTTATAATTTTAGGGAAGGATGTACGTACATCATGCTTTCAGCTTCACGATTTAATTACGCCTCGTTATACCTTAATTGTTTATTTATTACCGAATTGTTGTAATTTTCCTTATAGCTTGTAAATTATTAAATTCAAGTTAGAAACTAAACAACGACTCTAAAATGCCGTGCTTTTGGTAAAAATAAGTGGAATTAAGTTGGTGCTAGACAGTGGCCGGCGCTATTAGAACTCTGAATTCAAAAATCGATATCTCGAAATCCATTAGAAATAATTGATTGTAGGGTTTATTAAAAAAAGTATTAATGTTTCTGCTATATTTTCTTCACACAATATGTGAAAATCTTTAAAAACAAAGAAGTTACACGATTGCTGAAAATTACCATGCACTAAAAGTTGATGGATACGTTTTTTTTTTAATTTTTGAATGGAAAAAAAAGAAGCCTATCAATTTTTTTCCATTTAACATCTTACGTCTAAAATCCAAAATTCAAAATAAAAAAAAGAAAGTTGAATTTTCAAATTACCGCGATTATTGACATTTTGTGATTATAAAAAAATTGGAAAACGATATTCTTAACTCGATTTCAGATTCCCAGAAATATATCTAAGGATTTTATCTAGTTATCTTTCCGAAATAAAAACTTCTAGACTTCTAGACTAGAAATTAACGTCTTTCGACCAGGGAAGGACGCATCTCTATCACACTGACTTAATAAGATCCCTATACGATTCTCTTCCACACATATAAATACCGACCCAATACCAAGACTCGCCAGAGCGGTATACCAGTTTACATAAATATATACGTTATATTATGTTTACAGTGTAACTAAAATTTTACATTTACCGTGAATATAAAGTCTGTCTAGTGAGAAAAGACGGCATTCAAAAATTACACGACATATAAATACTAACGGTGAATCCTGTACCATGAAATTATGCATAGATTAAGATATTAACATTTATAATTTTAAATATTCAAAAGTCATTAAGATAAAAAACGATGTTAAGGAATTAAACCATTAATTAAGCAATACGGTTTTTAGGTAGGATATTTGTTACTTTGGTGTATTTTGGCTGGAGCATGCTGCCTATGATGTATATTGCCGGATACTTTTTCGATATACCATCGACAGGATATACAAGGATGACTTTATTCAGCATTTTTACAGGTAGATATAAAATGAAATAAATGACCAATGAATAGTGTTACAGATAAAAATCAGCATTTTTATATTTTCTACGGATGCGATTGAAACTGTGTAAGGAATTAAGCATTTTACTTCACATTTCATATTTAAGAATAATATAAAGTTAGCCAACTACTTATAAAATAAATAAAATATATTTAAAAAGAAACACCAAAAGCAGAACTCGCGTAATTAAAATTCTTATAATTTAAAAATTGTTAAGGAAATAGTCAATCAAAACTGACAAAAAAGGTTGTCAATGACGACGCTTTGGTTTTCATTATTTCCTTCTACTTTTGACCACCTTTATTTGCTTTATATGGTTACAATCCTAACAGGCTTTTTATGACCTGTTTTTTGTGTTTGAATTCTTCCTGCAATTTATAATCAAACTTCGGTTTATGAATTTGGAAAGTGGGTTTAAATAATTTATGACAAAAACGCTTCCTATCTAGACCCGTCGACCATAGAACTCATCGGCAAAAGTCTTGCACCTCCTTACTATTTTAAAAAATTACATTTCAAACTAATTTTTTGTGGAAATCAATAGATGCTAAAGTTATGTTAAAAAATAACAGAAAAAAGGGAAAACTCTCACCAAGTTTAATAATATATTTTGCCAAAATACAAAAAATGCAAATACCATAAAGAAAAATGCTTGACAAAAAAGAGAAATTAAATAAATAAATAATAAATTCTGACAAAATTAAGATTACTAATATAAAGTATTGCCTCCTCGATTTGTTATGAGTGCATCAAGTCGTCGGGGCATCCCCACTAATAACGTTGTTTATGGTTTCTTGAGGTAAGTTCTGCCATTCCTCTTGAGCGGCAATGATCAACTCCTGGCGATTTCTTGGTGGGTTATTTCTGCGAAATACAGCTCTGGTGATGTAGTCCCAGATATGTAAAATGGGATTCATATCGGGGGAGAGTGGAGGCCACTCCACACAAGTTAATTCCCCTTCATTTAATGCTTCCTGGACAATCCTAGCTCTGTGCGGACGAGCGTTATCATCCATGAGAATAAAATTATTGCCGATTTCTTCTCGCAGTGGATAAATTATATTATTGGTCTGATTACAGTTTCCACATACAAATGGGCGTTCATCACCTCAGGAATATGAATGAGCTCTGTTCGCCTATTGTACATGATGCCACCCCAGAACATCCCAGTTCCTCCTTGATAAGGGGATATAAAGCAAGGGCTGTATTCAAGCGATGCTGCCGCTCTGCCTCCCTCCACACTCGCTGACGATAGTCATCACTGATCAAACTTATCCTGGTTTTGTCAGTGAAAATTACGTTACTCTTCTGAGGTAATAATCAGTTCTGGTTAGAGATACTTGGAGGTACATACTTGGTTTCTGATAGAGGGACTCGCAGTGGACGTCTACGGCGCACTCCAGCATTAGAAAGTCGCCTGGAAATGGTTCGGCTTGATATCACTCGGTGGTAACTTCGTTTAGACTGAGATCGTAGCTCTCGAATTGGAACTGACCGATTCCTTCTGGCAAATTGAGCCAAGTAGCGATCCTGTCGTTCAGTCGTTACCATTGTACGCCCCAACCTAGGACGAGATCTTACATTTCCGGTGTCCAGAGCCAAGTAGCGATCCTGTCCTTCAGTCGTTACCCTTATACGCCCCAACCTAGGACGAGATCTTACGTTTCCGGTGTCCAGAGCCAAGAAGCGATCCTGTCGTTCAGTCGTTACCCTTGTACGCCCCAACCTAGGACGAGATCTTACGTTTCCGGTGTCCAGAGCCAAGTAGCGATCCTGTCGTTCAGTCGTTACCCTTATACGCCCCAACCTAGGACGAGATCTTACGTTTCCGGTGTCCAGAGCCAAGAAGCGATCCTGTCGTTCAGTCGTTACCCTTGTACGCCCCAACCTAGGACGAGATCTTACGTTTCCGGTGTCCAGAGCCAAGTAGCGATCCTGTCGTTCAGTCGTTACCCTTATACGCCCCAACCTAGGACGAGATCTTACGTTTCCGGTGTCCATATACCGTTGTATAATTCGGCTTACAGTACTTCGCACTAAATTTAAACGATCAACGATTTGATGCCTGCTGAGACCTTCTTCATGCAAAGCGATAATTCGGGCCCTATTGAAGGCAGAAATTTCGTGCCCTGGCATTTTTGTCGCCTTTCACAACACTTACTACAAGATTGAACTCGAACTGAGAAACAAAATTTGACCGCAAATAGCCATACACATTCTATCGATTAGGTTTCCTTTCATTGATTTTATGACTTATTTTTTGTAGACATATATTAAGGTATTTGTACACATAGCCACAACAATATGCTATGCAAAGAAATAAATTTATCTGGGGGTGTATGACTTTTGCCGATGAGTGTATTAGCAATGACAAGTCAAAGGTGCTCACTTTTGTTATTGTTTTCGAAATTTTTTACTATTAATGTTTAATTAGGTGTGGCTGCTTATCTAATAGTCCAGGTACTGTCAACTCCCGACCTAGGATTGGAACATATCGGCAATACACTGAACTGGATATTCCTGGCCGTTCCACACTATTCTCTGGCAACGGGGATTCGTGATATTTACACTTTGTACTTTTACAACAAAATCTGCAAAGAACTCTACGCAAACTGCCAATTAGTTACACCAGACATTTCCTATGATGAGTGCATAGATAGTGTCGAAGCACAATCTTACTGTGCAGGTAAATTTGATTTAATTAGTATAGTTTGTCCAGCGAAAGAGAGTATATGACAATGACAATTGTTGACATTTATTCAAAAAAATATTTTTTTTTTCAAACGGTACAGAAGTATTAATTTTTGCGATGTGATTGACAATATCAAAAAGTCATTTTAACGCCTAGGCATAAAAGTAAAACACTTTTACGCCTAAGCATAAAAGTACGAAAATATATTATTAAACTGACAGTCTGAAGTGTCAAATTAAACGAGCGTAACCATAATTTCTCGATATACAATTACATACAGGGTAATTATTTTTGAGATGATGAATTTTAAATATTTTTATGTTATTTGGAACGTTTGAAATTGTTTAAAAAAATATTTGTGGCGTTTGAAAAAAATAACATAGTTTCTATTCGGAGTAAAAATGACTTTTTGTGGCTCGCCTGTATGTGTCAATTGTACAGCCTCGCTATGATAAGTGTCATTTTTACTCCTAATAAAATAATATACTATTTTCTGGAATTTTTTATATACAGGGTCCGACAATAATGTGTCTCTAGAATAAAAAACTTGAGAATTTTGTGCAAACCTAAAGTAGGTATGTACCGGGTTGTCAATTAAGAATGGACGCCGGCTGTATCTCAGAAACTACTTATCGTATAACTTTGGGAAAAAAATTCTAATAGGTAAATCGACCAAGAGAAATCGCTGGAAATTACTTTCAAGTTCGAAAAGTGCCCGCTAGGGGGCGTTTCTCTAATAGCCAATCAGAAAACAGGGTTTTCCTCAAAGATATGCAGGTGGACAGGTATTTTAAATATTACTATTGTAATCATCGATAAATTTGTATTTTTTTGATATAGAGTATTTTGCTCTATCTCATAAAATAAAGTGGTGGGGGAATGTTAAACTTGCGTAAGGATAACTCTGGTTTGGGTTGCGCGATTTAAACAAACTACGGCTCGTTTAAAAGAGCTTTTCTTCCTTAATGATCTCCAGTATAAATTTTGTTTCCACAATTTTTTTCGTGGTAGCTAGAGGGCGCTGTTGACATTATAACAGATATTGCGCTTTTGCGTAAAAAATTAGATAGGAGGCTATATTTTCCTTTGCACAGTTAAATAGAGCACACAATTTCCAAAATATCAGCGCAAACCGCAACTTTCTATCTTCTCTAACCGGAGATATTAAGAGAACAAATCATGTTAGGCTGCCGCTCAGGATTATATGGTCTAAAAATTATAGTAGTAGGCTAGGAAACAAAAAGAGGTAAATTGGTTACGTCAAAATATCAAAACGTTTAAGTTCAGTTTTCATGCATCCGAATTTCGGGCGTTTTCTTAAAAAAATGACGTCATAATTATTTAAACGTGTTTGTATAACATTATCATCCATCCATATAATTTTTACCAATTTCTTGGTTAATTATACGTAGGTAGATTCAGATTAAAATGTCCGAAAGTCGGAGAATCAATAATTTTATTAAAATTTCTAGGAGTTTTGTGCCGCCATATTGTTTTTAACAGAAAAAAACCGCCGAATTTCGTAGGGTCGAAAACTAGGGGTTTATTCATATAACGTCATTTAGTTATTAATCCAAGTTCGTCCTTGTTGAGTTTGTTTAAATTGCATAACCCAAACCAGAGTTATCTTTATTTTAATAAAAGCAAGTTTAACCTTCCCCCACCACTTTATTTTATGAGATACAGCAAAATACTTTATATCAAAAAAATTACAAATTTCTCGATGAGTACAATAGTAATATTTAAAGTACCTGTTCACCTGCATATTTTTGAGAAAAACCCTGTTTTCTGATTGGCTATTAGAGAAACGCCCCCTAGCGGGCATTTCTCGCACTAAAATAATTTCCAGCGGTTTCTCTTGGTCTATTTACTTATTAGATTTGTTTTTCCAAAGTTATATGATAAGTAGTTTCTGAGATACAGCCGGCGTTCATTCTTAGTTGGCCACCCGGTACTAGGATGTATTTCAGGAAAATATTTTAACTTCTATAGAGTGGCTCAAAAAAATGTTGTGGAGTGGATCGGTATAAGTTTTTTTAATGGAACACCCTATATATTATTACATTTTTGGCTTCCTTTCTGATCACTTTATACAATCCTAAGATATGAGTAAATATATTTCAGTTAATTTCAGAAATATTAATAAATAAATTAAAAATATATGTTTTTCAACCATCTTTAAAAAAATTATTACAAATACAAGAACTGTCTTAAAATCAAAACTATGTTAAAATAATATTTCTTTGTTTTCTTTAAGGAACACCCTGTATATTATTTTTTTATTAGGTGGAGAGTTAAAAAAATAACAATTTTTTCAAAATTTTTAACGGTTTCGCAAATACTCGCGGTATTATTTCATATGGCTCTATCTACGGTAAAATACGAGAGAAAAACCATTGGGTGGCTTTGGTAAAAATTTACTGTGGAAAATGCCATATGAAATATAAAATTGCAAATATCTGCGAAACCGTTAAGACTTTTGAAATAGTCTATATACAAAAAATGTTTATTTTTTAATTCTCCATCTATTTTAAGGATAATATACAGGGTGTTCCGTTTAAAAAAAAAGAAGAAAAATTATTTTATATTTTAAAAAGTTTGGCGTAGAATTTTGAACATCATGTATGATTTACTATTACCATATTTATAGGAAAGTAATAAGAAACCATCTAAAGTAAATACCTGATATAGTTTTGATTTCAGCAGAATTCTTGTATTTTTAATATTTTTTTTTAAAAAAAAGAAAGGCTAAAAAATATATATATTTATTTATTTATTATTACCCCTGAAACTATCGAAATATATTTACTCATATCTTATATTATTATATAGGATTAGGTAAAGTAATCTGAAAGGAAGCATATTGCAATAATATACAGTGTGTCCCATTTTAAAAAATCATCCCGATCCACTCTACATAGAATTTCTCATGTCAGAAAATATGATCCAAATATGGGAGTTAGTTCAGAAATTATTTGGAAAAAATCGAAGTAAAAATAAAACTTCTACACCCTGTATCTCAAAACAAGCATTTTAGAGTTACTTTTTTACCTGCAAAAAATACTGCCGAAGTTTCCCGAATACAATTCAGACCAAGCTGTATTATACATATAAAATCATTCTCGTTGAAACAAACTTACTCAAACTCTCTTTTTTCAGATTTAGATGAACACTATTTCAAATGGAAATCTCCGGGTATAGGAAGAAACCTTGTATATTCCTTCACCGTAGGTTTCGTACTACTCACCATCATTCTAATAATCGAATACAAGGTATTCTCACAAATCGCCTACTTCGTGAGACAAAAGTACTTTCCCAAAGACCCACACCCCGTACCCGACGAAGATAGCGACGTCCATAACGAAAAAGTCAAAATCCAAAACAGTTCCCAAGTGGAACTGTTCCACAATTACACCATGGTGGTACAAGACTTGACAAAGTATTACGGAAACTTCTTGGCCGTGAACGGGCTATGCTTGGGTATAAAAAAATACGAATGCTTCGGATTGTTGGGGGTGAACGGTGCCGGGAAAACCACCACCTTTAAGATGCTCACTGGAGATATCAGGATATCGAAAGGTGATGCTTGGGTCAACGGAAAGAGCATCAAACGACACGTGGAAGACGTTCAAAAGCTCATAGGTTACTGTCCTCAGTTCGACGCTCTGTTGGATGATATGACGGCAAGAGAAACGTTAATAATGTTCTCCTTACTCAGGGGTATTCGCTACGAAAACTGTAATCTTATAGCGGAGAAGTTAGCTACGGACTTCGACTATTTTCGGCATTTAGACAAGAGAGTTAAGGAGCTGAGTGGAGGAAATAAAAGGAAGCTGAGTACTTCGATAGCTTTGATAGGAGATCCGCCAGTAATTTATTTAGACGAACCGACAACAGGTTAGTTTATTTCCATATAATTATAGATATATATATTTTAAATACAAAAAAATGTGTTTAAATAATAATTTTACTGTGAAGCTTCACTCAGAACCTCGCAATTAATGGAATAAATTACTGGTTTCATTTACTCTTTATATTTTTTTAGGTTATGATCATTCACAATGTCTAAAAAACACAATTAAAATTAATAGAATATCCTAGCAACAGCTTCCAGTAGTCAGTTGTAACCGTAGAGAAAGCCTAATGTTTAGCTTATAAAACAATAAACTGTTGATGTCTAACCAAATTTTATCTTGACGAATGATAATCAAAGGCGAAAATGTCATTCGTCGCATTATAATGAATTATACTTCAAATTTTGAAGTATAATTAGTGTAAAATTTAAAAGCTTCATTCAGAATCTCCAAATCAATGGAATAAATTAGTAGTTTCAATCAGGGTTGTTAAGTAGTTTATGAAGCAAAAAACTACGCCAAAAACTACGCGCAGTTTTTGGTATTAACTACGTTTAAAAATTTTAAAAACTACCTTCAAAAACTACACAAAAACTACCTACAAAAATATAGTAGAACATAAACAATTTAGACTTTAAACAAAAATCAAGCCAAATTCTTATCATGGAAGTATGAAGTTATATTATATTTGTTATAAGTTAAACAACATCAGAAAAAAAGACATTTTTTTTCAACAAAAGTGTATTTTCTACGAAATACAAAGTAACATTGAACACAAAATAAACTATAAATTCTTATGGAGAAATTCTCCATAGACATTCTCCAGGAGAATATATGATTGTTTACATCTAAAGGCACAACTTCATAATTCCCCTTTTCCCAGATGGTATGGAGACATCGACATTCCAAGTATTTTTAAGTACTAAGTATCAAAAATGTCACATAATGGTACGTACACATTGGTGCGCTGCGCCGCGAACGCGCGGTGCGCGCTCCGGGCGTTCGCCGCGCGTTGCTTTTTTTTTGTTTTAACGAACATCCCGCGATCCATAGAAATCCCGCGATCCATAGAAATCACGCGAACATTCGTCTAGTCGTTAATCATGTCTCTATCGTCCGAGAAGAACTACGCAATTTAAATCATAAGTAGTGCAACTCTTTAAACACTCCATTAATAAACAATATTCAAAGAAAAACACAAAAAAGGGAATTTATTCAAAGAAAATACACATAGTCACTGATAAATACGCGCGGAATGCGCGCGGTGTCGTCACCGGCCATCCCAACTGAACAACGAACAAACAAAGCGGAGCGTCGAAAAACCGACTGGAGATGGTTCGCCGCTAGCTGTTTGCGCGCGGTGCTCGCGCAACTTGAAAACACGTGCTAATATAGGCGAATAGGTGCGCGCGTGCCGCGCGTTCGCGGCGCAGCGTGCCAATGTGTACGTACCATAATAAGGAACATATTCACAAAATATAGATTTTTTATTTCTTTAAATTGATCAACAAACAAAGTTTTACGTTATGTTATCACAGTTATTTAAAAAAACTACATTAGTTATATAAACTACACATTTACTACTCGACATTTAAAAAACTACTTGTGACAGGTAGTAAATGTAGTTTATTAATTACTACGTGTAGTTTAACAACTCTGGTTTCAATTAGCCGTGGAAGTTTGTTCACCTAATTTTAATGTAAGCATTCAGAACGTCATAATTAGTGGTAGTAATTTTCAATTAGTAAAAAAAGTTACTTTTGACTTTTTCACTAATTATACCTCAAAATTTACGAGGAATGTCATTTTGGCTTTTAATTATCACCCGTCAAGAAAAATTTTGGTTAGAAATCAAAAGTTTATTGTTTTATAAGCTAAATATTATGCTTTCTCTATGGATACAATAGACTTCCACGAGCTGTTGCTAGGATATTTTATTGATTTTAATAGTGTTTTTTAGACATTGTGAATGATCGTAGACCATAGATAAATGAAACAAGTTTAGATTGGAAAGTGCCCATAAGGACAATGTAAACACCTCTGGTAAACACTATTTGGCGCTATTCTTGCAACGGTCGCGACCCAAAACTTTTGAAAATTTCGGAGCGGTTCGGCTTTTCCCGGAATTTTATCGTCAAATATTGTTTATTCAAATGTATTATTATTTTCGTTTAATTTTATAAATAAAATACAGTGTGTTGCATACAAGAAACTTTATTTTATATAAAGACGCATGTATGAAATACCTATGAAACTCTGCTATGAAATATTAGAAACCGACGTTATGTCACGATCCACGATGGTTTTTGCAGTTCACAGTTCTCAGCACAGCTTTTTATGTTTTTAATGCCACTTTTTCACAATTATCACCGATTGAAGTAAATAAAACTTGAATTAAACTCACAAGATAGCAATAATTACTTTGAAAATGGACGCTATAAACACTTTTCGGAATTTCTTTAATGAGAGCGGTTTAGATTCTGAAAGATTATTATGATTTTTGAAGATTCTGACTTTGACAAGAGAAAATTATTTCTGTTTTTGTTTGCCATTGTTCTTAGCGACCGCTATAGCAGCGCCAGATCGCATATAACGGTCGCGACCCAAAATAATTTCGCGACCTAAAAATTTTACGGGCTTTCCAATCTAAACTTATTGCATTTATCTATGTCGTAAACTAAAAAGTATAAAGTGTAATTGAAACCACTAATTTATTCTACTAATTGGGAGGTTCTGAAAAGCTAAAAGTTTATTATTTTTTTTTCACTAATTGAAAATTCCTACCACTAATTTTAACGTTCTGAATGCTTACATTCAAATTACTAGTACGCTAATTGAAACCACTAATTGGGAGGTTATGAATGAAGCTTTAGACATAAAAAAAAAATTTAAAAAACGTTCATCATATACTGGTATGTTATGATGACATTCAATATTTTAAAACTAACTTGCCAAGCCATCTCTAACACCATTTCTTTTTTGATCATATGGTATTTCAAATACTCATCGAAATGCAGCGACAACTAAAAATCACACATCTAGTCAGTCCTAAATATATTTTTTTTTAAATCTCAGTATTATCATCCATACAACTTTAAATATCAAACTATTTTAATAGTACTAGAGCTAGTAACGTCAGGAAAACAAGTATTGTAAGTAAGCTGGCTCTTTGATATATATTTTACTATGCTCTCTGGAACAGAGTGCGGATACACGTTGCGTTCACTATTGCGCATTGGAAGAAGATCCTACATTTTTATTTAGTCTTTTAAATTCCAGTATTGAAAAAAAGTCGGGCAAGACCCCACAGCGCGGCGCGGAAAGTTTTCGCTTATGAAGCGAGGAGTTCGAAGTTCGATACCGGCTCGGGGTAAACTTTTTTTTTATTTCATTTTTGTTTATATTCTGATAGTAAAGTATTAAATATTTGTTTTTTTGATTACCAGAGCGGATGGCATTTATGGGTTTATGAGCCGTAGCAGTAGTGAATGCAACCTTACCCCGAGCCGGTATCGAACTTCGGACTCCTCGCTTCATAGGCAGAACCTCTACGCGCCGCGCTATAGAGACATGCTCGATATATCTTTAGTATTAGGATTTAACAGACTAAATAAAAATATATAGAATCTTCTTTCGATGCGCAGTAATGAGCACAACGTGTATCGGCATGCTCTTCCAGAGAGCGTAGTAAAAGATACACCAACGAGCCAGGTTTCTTAATTAATACTTTCTCGAAAACGTTGCTAGCTCTTAGACTATAATATTTGTGTTTTAACGCATCATAAAATACTAGATACACTTAATATTATCCAGGTATGGATCCTGCCACGAAAAGATACTTGTGGAACGCCCTCTGTAAAGTCAGAGACAGCGGAAAGACCATTGTCCTAACTTCGCACAGCATGGAAGAATGCGAAGCTCTCTGCACCAGACTAGCCATCATGGTTAACGGAAACTTCAAATGCCTGGGATCCACGCAACACCTCAAGGACAAATTCGCCGAAGGCTACACCATAACGATAAAAGTGAAAAAGCCCGACGAAAGTTCCGGTTCAACGCATGCCGATACCAGCGCCATAGAGCGGTACATTGGTGAGAATTTCCCCAACGCCACCTTGCGAGAGAAGCACGAGGAACTGTTAACGTACTACATCATGGATAAGAGTGTACCTTGGTCGCGGATGTTCGGTATATTGGAGGATGGTAAAAGGAGAGATCTGCCCATCGAGGATTATTCTTTGGGACAGAGCAGTTTAGAACAAGTACGTTTTATCATTACTTATTTTCATTTCTTTTATTTTTTGGCAAATACTCTATAAATAAAAAAATCACCCAAAGTCAAGCTGTAGATTTTTGATGTGGATATTGGCCTATTCCACTGCAACCTTTACAGAACTGTTGCGGTCTTCTTCTTATAACTTGATTTATATATTTTTTCATTTGTATTCTTTACAAAGAGTCTATTAATATGGGGAGTAAACCTTCCATATAGACTTTTGCCAATGGCTTATCATTGCCTAATACCTACAAGACCCGCCCATTTACCAGGCTATCGCTCTTATATAGAATATGTTCTGCTGTTTCTTTTTGATTGATAAAACTGCACATGCCCTCGTCTGTTTAGGTCAGGTTAGGGTTGCTAGGGTTTGAGATGCTGTTTAATCCATAACTCGGAGGTTTCCCGGTCCATTGTGATACCCGCAGCATTATTGTACCAAAACCTTCCTCTCATTCATTCTTTGCGTTGAAGCACTTCCAGCTCTTTGCAAAGTTCTCGATGTCGCTGATGTTGGCTTCTGCTGCTTCCTCTAGTCCCTCTAAAAAACCTTGTCCTAAAGTTTTAAACCGTCGGCATTCCAATGCCGGACAGTGGCACATCTGGTGTTCTATGGTTTCTTCTTCCTCTCCCGCATTCTCTGCAGTGATCGTCGTTTGAAATCTTCCATCTCACGAGGTTTACACCCGTGGGGTAGTTTTTTTAGTGATGACATCTACAATTATGCCTATTAGGTTCTTTTTGTGCTCCAGTAGTTTTTGTCTTTTGCTGTATCTACAACTGGCTACAGTCTTTGAGCTGTAACGCTGTCCTAACGGTACTGCCACGTCTCTTGTTGCTTGGCGTTGATGGTAGTTCCTATAGCTTTATTCAGTGTATTGATCGTCACAAGTGGTGGTCATCTGCCACGGCCTGGCTCCGTCTTTGGCGGGTCTGTCTGCTTCTTGGTTGGTCACCATATTGCTGTGGCCTGGCACCGAGCACAGGGTGGTCCCGCTTTGACGCAGCCGGGACAGTGCTTCGTGGCTGTCCATCACAGTTTTCAATCTCACTGATTGCATGGCGATACTTCTTAAAGCGCCCAAGATGTCAGAGAATATCATCACAATATCTCCTATTGTTCTATCAGCGATTTTGTTTCGAATACCAGCTGACCCGCTTCCTTTATGGCCTAAACCTCTGCTTGTAGAACGTTACAGCCATCCGATAGCCTTAAAGATCGTCGGATGTCTAGTTCCTCTGAGAAGAAGCCTATACCTGTGCCTCCTGAAATTACGGAAGCATCTGTGTATACTGCTTGCTCTCTTAGTGTTCATTACTCGGTTGCTTTTCCATTTTTTTCTTGTCGGGATGCGAATACTTATCGTTTCTCCAAAATCATGTTGGTGAGGATATAGTTTGTTTTCTAGTCTAGCAGATGTGGACTCGTGTTTGCTATATTTTATCCTATCATTGGCAATATCCTCGAATGAGCGTAGTAGGTCTGGTTCCACAGATTGGATTCCCTTAATCTTAGAGTTCCCTTAGCGGCCAGATCCTTTCCGAGCCAGTCGATTGATTGCAAGTCCGGAATTACTTCTAGCGCAGCTTGCGCTGTGTTGTGCCTTCTCTACATTTGTACCTAGAGCTGCTAATTACTGTAGTTTTGTGGGACTTTTTCTATTAGAGGCTTCATCATTTTACCCATCAATTTTTAAATACCTATTAGTCTGCAATGCCTTGTTAGTAGACACCACAATTTTTCTGCCTTTGCATGAGATCTGCATAAATTTTTGTAGAGTATTCTACTCTGAAATGTTTCGCCTCCTTCTGTTCTACTTAATTTTTCCATCATTCTTGAGATTTGTCGACTACCTACTGTTTTGTGACTATTTTCTGATAGATTTTGAAGCAACGCTGAAGGATTTTGGACTTGGCATCCTTCAATGGCATTGATAAGGCTTGTTTGGTTATTTTATCTGTTTCTTTCTTTGTCCTTTGTGACCTTCGAATACTCGGTCGTCCGATTCAAGTATCATTCTTATGTTCTGCCAATGTATTTAGAGCTCGCACACAATCCCATAATAGTATAGAATTGACATTTATTCATATCTATACAGCTATAAGATAGCAACTGAACGGCGTATTCTTTACTGCTTTATTGCTTAATTTCCACACTATAATAGATTTGCTTGATTGTCATCTATGTTATAAAGTCAAGCCAGAAACATAGTATTCTATTTATTTTATTTATTTACAGGTATTCCTCACATTTACCAAACATCAACAAGAGCAGTAACGTGTGATAATGTGATATAGGTTATTAAGTATTTAATTTCTAACAAAATTCAAACCAGTGCAGTGCCTCTCTCTGTTGAAATTTGTCCGTTGACGATAGCGTATTTTTAAGTTAAGTTAAAAACAAATAATTTATTTATATAGAGATACAAAATGAATAAAAAAGTTTTATTTTTGAAATATATTATTGTGTTTTTATTTCACGCGAATTTTGTTTTATTGACCCAGTAAATAATATACAGCGCGTTTTCTTAACGCGTTACATAAGAATCAATAATTTTTGGAATGGATGAAGTTTAAAAACAGCCTTTACTATCCGCGAAATGTTACGAAATATTTTCAGAAATATTTCGTGAAACATGTCACCAAAATATTTCTGGAAATTGTACGATAAATATAAGCCCGTGTTATAAAAATTAGTTCCCACGTTTCCTGAAATTGATCGCCTGACCCAGATTAACAATAAAACACAAACAACCAATCACGGCGCGTCTCGATCAATTTCAGGAAACGTGGGAACTAATTTTTATAACACGGGCTTATATTTATCTTGCTATTTTGTGAAATAGCACGAGGCAATCAAGGTCAAACGTTGAGATGGCTTCAGAAATCTAAGTAAACATGGAAAAACTGATATGAAAACAGTTACCGATGGTAAATTAAATTGGCTAATCCTTGAAGTTTACACAAGAATATTTAGTTTTAATCATTGTTTAATATTATTCATTACAATATAGTAAAAAAAATAAAACAGTGACTAACTAGCGGTCTACAATTTATCGGCTTATAATCCACGGTATTGCGCCTCATGAAAAAAATATACACAAGTAAAAATCGTCAAATTATTTATTATTTCTAGTACCTAACAGTTAACATTTAGAGTATAGTCTATAAAATGAATAACTTTGAATTTTGACCGTTATTTTTTACCAACATGGCATAAAATCCCTCTGTCAAAAAGTTACTGATATTCTTTAAATCGAGTGCCTGAACAGATCAGATAGGTAACTCTGTTTACTTTTGTAAAATAGCAAAGGAAATAATAAAACAAGTGACAGTTCTTCCTCTTCTTGCAAAAAACAACACGAAATGTCATAATAGTCAAAAGTAAAATGTCATCAGCTTTTGACATTTCTGAATATCAGAACAATGCCGTCTCTAATATAATAGCCTCGGGCGAGATTTATGATGCCACGCTGAATTCTACGGATTAATAAATATGTTGTAGAATGCATGGAAAACATAATTATTCCTCGTATTTTGGTTTGTATTTTTAAAAAATTATATAGTTTATATGAAATATACATAATATACAGTTAATAAATACAATATATATACCTATTTATAGTAATAAATACTTTGGCAAATAAACTATAAACCTGCTGTAAAAAAATGCTGCAAATGTTTACAATATACAAATAATGAATAAATTTTATAAGATAATGGGTAAAATAAAAATATATTTAAATTTTGGTGTTTGAAAATCGATCTAATTTAACAAAAACATTCAATATCTACTAATAGTGATGTATTATTGTTTGCATTCACAAAATTCATATGTATATTTTGCAAGTATCAATGTTCGAAAAATTATATTTACAAATAATGCAATATCATAGAAAAAAGGCGTCAGCGATGACATGAAATAAAGTTTTTATATGTAAATTATTCTAAAATTTTTCGTTTTCTAGGGATTTAGGTTCGGAAAAACGCTGATTAAGTTTTCATTTTGGTTTTCATTATCTTTTGGTTTAAAAAAAAAGTTTCGGCTCATTATAGCGCTTCATCAGTGTTGTGTCATATGAAAAAAATATTGTCGAATATAATCAAAAATTACATAAATATTCACCACACACCACATAATGTTTACTGCAATTAATAAACTAATATAAACTTGTCAAAGATGACCACATATTTTTTAAAATTATTATTCTAAACACTAAAACTATCTACATTATTTATGAATTACGATTTCAGCCATAGTCAAATATAAAGGAATAATTATGTTAGCGTGACGTCATAAATTTCGCTCCGAGGCTGTTCTATTAGAGACGGCATTGCGTCAGCATGGCCGCAAGTTGCTAACCTAATATTATTAACACTAGAAAAGCCCACGGGAACTGTCAAATTCAAAGTTATTCGTTTCACAGAATATAAGTAACATTTAAACTGTAGTCTGTAGCAAACTTTAGTTTACTAATTTGGTTTTGTTTTTCTAGTTCCATTGTCTAAATCACTGCATAATCAATACTAGTTGAATGAATGTATATCAAACCATGCTGGGTGCTAATAAAAGTATCGGTTACAGATTTCTCTTAAGAACAATAAAAAGAACATTGCTTTTAAATAATGTCGTGGACCATACTTTTGTTGACATCGGGTCAAATAATAATTTTCCCAAGCGGATATATTGATATTATTACCAGTATTATTCATCAAGCAATACTACTCTTATATTAACCAATTAAGGCCGTAAACAAACATATCATATACAATTTTAAATACTAATTCAAGTTTAAGTGAAAAGTTTTGTTTCTAAATATCTACTATACATATAATAAACGCGTGTTGAAATATTAATTCTGTGGAATGTGGAATATACAGGTTGTTAATTTGTTTATTACTCGCGGCAAGAGCTTTTTGGTTGAAATATGGCAACCTCGGCCCGCTCGTCGATAGAGACGGGACGAGTCGACAGAAAACCCTATAAGTGCATGCTTTCTCAATAGGCAGTGTCGCCATTCTGTTCCCCTATTAGTAACTGTCCAGTTAACACCCAACTAGCAAATATAGTTCCCAGTCCTTTTTTAAAATGTCACTGCCCCTAAAGTATAGTTCCTAGACCCACTCTGCCACTTAAAATGATACTCTATAAGGAATAGTCACTTTGAAGTATATTTCGAGAGTGACCGGTTAGTGTCTACCTACCATAAAAGTGGAAAATAAACACCCCGATTGCAAGTCGCAAACATGTACCTAATTTAAAGAAGTGGCTGGAATTACCCGAATCTTCGAATATAACACCATGAAAGACCAAAAACTTTATAGTAACTTTTTCAAAGTAGGGGTTACCAACAAGTGCTACCATAATGCCTCCATTAAGTTTTGTTACTTTATAGTATCAATTTAAGTTACGGGGTAGTCGCGGCTACGACACCTAGTTATTTCTAATTTATAGTAGCATTGAAAGTAGCAAAATGGTTACTGCGACCTTCCTAGGTCACTATAAAGTAGCCGTCGCTCATCTATTGTCACTAAAAAGTCACGGGGAATTCAAAAACGGCTACTTTGCAGTGACCGCTCTTTCTTTCTCACCCTAATAAATGTAGTACCTCAGATTGAATGGTATTGCTGCTCTGTTTTAGTGTTTTTCTTTGCTTGCTTTAAGCTTTATTAAAATTTTGTAAAATCCCTAAGGTGAATAAAAGAAATTTAGATATTCCAGTACTTTCCACCGAAGAATTAAACAAAAGGAATCACTGCAAGCCGATGCATAAACATCAGAAACAAAAACTACATCTTTCTAAATTCTTCGCAGTGAACATCGCCAAATCAGGTAGTGACTGGGACGTTTTTGAAGCTGTTTCTGTTGATGAGTGTAGTGTTAGTTCATGTGAAACTGAATCTCAGAGGAGAACTAATTTGAGAACCAACAACAACATAAAACAAGAATAAAAAGTGGGCGTTAAAATACTCTATACCTTATCTAGCTCTGAATAATATACAAACATAATAGAAATACACAATAAGTAAAAATAACGTACTAGTAATAATAAGGACAAGGCGGAACGTTATAGTGGCACCAATGGAATGTATAGTCGCCACCACCGCGATCAGTGTAGCAACGCTCCAATTAAGTGGCAATTTGGTGGCGCAGGAACTTTCTTGAAAAAATCACTTTATGGTTTCAAAGAATCGTTGACCATGTAGTTCCAAAAATGTTGTGTTTCTATAAAGTCGCCTTTGGATAGCTACAATTGTCACTTTATCAATCCGAAGAATTTAAAGGTACAAACGGGTAGGGTTGGCCTAATATGTTATTGTTCCCGGTACTTTGTAGGAGCATATGGAACTATAAAGTATTTTTTGGTTAATGACCATATTTTTTCATGAATTTTTAGATGAACAGCCAAGTGAAACTCAGAGCATTGTGGTTTAGGCTAAATGCCGCCTGGATTCCACCCTATAGATAGCTATTATTTCTGACAGAGGTGGACCTTCCCCAAGTTTGACCCGGGTTTCAAGCAAATTGTTATTATTTTTTATTCCTAAACATGAGTTTATTAAATAATATAATAATTTAAAATTTTTTTTTTTTTTTTTATTTTGTTATATAAACCCACTATTTTATTCAGTAAAGTTGATTGCGTTCTGGAATTTACCTAAAAAGGCGTTAAAATCGCACGGTAAATAACAAATAACAGAAAAATAATAAACTTCCTAATTATTTTCCATCATGACATTTATTTTTTATGAAATGTGAAATTGCATGAAGAGGTCGCTGCGAATAAAGTTCAACAGTTTAACGAAAGTTCCACATGTCGGTGGCTAACACTTGGCTACCACGAACCCGCGACTAGGCAGTTTCGTAACGGATAAGTCGCATTCACCAATAGGCTACTTTATAGTAACACATCATAGTAACTCTTTTAGTGGCAAAAACTACCCAAGACACTGCCCGGCTACTCAAAATCTTTCCCCATTTTGGTCGCAGTTACCTAGCAGCTACGAATATACGACGCACAGTGCTTCGAACATATGGCTCTAGAGGACAAAAATCCAAAACTTCTCTTTTATTGTAAGCAATTTATTCAAACTAGGTTTATTTGACACAAATGATGAGTACTCTCATTGTACTAAATGATGATGTTCTTAGTCCCACGTTTATGAAAAAAAAATCTTATAAATAATAACAATGTTGGAGCTATGTTCCATCTAAGCAAATAATAATTTATAGTATGAAAACGGTGTAAGTATTAAATAAATCCCTGTGATAAAAAAAAGAATTGAAATAACATTAGAACATGATTCCTACAATATAATCCTAATATAAGATAAAAATGTTTTTCTTTAATGAAAAAGAAACATTAATGTTATATTTAATTAAAAAAGATACTATAAATTTACTTTAGTACAACA